ATGATAAGAAACTATATCAGAAAGGTGTAAATATTGTTCTCTTTGGTGGAAAAACGAAGATCAGTGACGTGATTTATATATAATAATAATAATAGTTTATTCAGTTCCCTTGTAGTAAAAATACTAAATCAACAAACTGAAGAGATATAAAATTGATATGTACAGTATTAAAAATAAGAAAATATTATATTATAATATATTATATTAGAAAAATAATTAAGATTCAGTTCAAATATTTGGACATGAAAACGTCCTCTGGTCTTTTAGTTTTTTTAACATCGTGTTATTTGAGAATAGAAATACAAAAAGAATGAAGTAGGAAATGATAAATGGCATAAATAGTCCAAGATGATCGCAATAAAATTAAAAAAGCTAAGGTTATTAAAGTACAAACATTCTTGAATGATATGTGTCTAGCTAATCTGACAGCAGATAGATGTATTCACGTCAAAATTTACATCGTATTTCACTCAGAGACTGTAATCTTGTCAAATGCAGTAGTTATATCATTTTTTTAAAGATTAAAAAGTTCCTGCATTGTTTATATTCCAAAAATACCTGATTGGCGGCATATTTCGCAACAGAAAGCTTATTTATAGTAAATGCTTGAATATTATCGCTGCGCCAGTTAAAACAGTACTGTAAGTTTATTTCCTCGAAAATTCCACGCTCGCGAAAAACCGCAATATATATATAACACATCGATTATCAACACTTATTAGAAATAAGCTACCATTTGCAAATGGAACAAAACAGCAGACGATAACAATAACACAATTTGATTTTCGGTTTTTTGGAAGAACTATATTTTCCTTTGTCATCTGTGGGATAACATCATGTAAATATCCGTTCCAAAAATCTCCAAATCTCTAGCAGTGTTCTCCATGTATTGTGTTGAAATAACCGGAAATAATATATTGGCCTAAAAGATATTATGGAATGTTAATTGCACATATAGTTGCAGATAGCCTTTATTCATTTCTTGCCAGACGACTGAGATGATAACACTTTCCATCTTTTGCCAAAAACTGGGATGAGATGAAAATAAATAAGGTAGGAAGAAACCCCTTTATTGAGACAAGACATGCGCTGTAACGTATTTTGCGATCTAGTTTATAGCAAATTTTGGTATCTATTAGATTTCCATGTCAACAAATCAAAAATCAAAGCAAATGATCAATTCAAATCAATTACATATAGAAATTACTAGCAACTTTTTATTAAAAAAAGTATTTAAGGTCGAAAAGTAGTATGAATTTTTATTGTTATTATTATTAGTAGTATTATTATTCATTAGCATCGAAAGTATATGACATAATGGTGTACAAGGCATATCATCAAAAGTGACAGAAAAGGAAAGCATTTTTCTTCTTTGTGGAGATGCACCAAAATATTTGTACGTGAAAAAGTATTTTGTTTTCAGAGATGACGATTCATCATTAATATGCATTTAATATATTTTAAAACAATTTGCACGGAAATAGCATGAGCGCTATGATTGGCTGATGTAAAGGGCTCGCGCCGTCTTATAATTGTGTAATAAATTTCCCCCATCTTACTCGCTGCTTACCAATTATGAATAGAATATATGTAATGCTTAGTCGTTGTTTGTAAATAGTTTAAATTCTGTACTACAAAGTAGGTAGCTATAAACTGCATTCATTAAAACGCTTTTTATGAAGCAGACTTTGCCACCAGCCCACAGACACTGACGATTTTCGGCCACTTGACATTGAGCTTTCTAATTGGTCCTTGAAATGTTTTGAGAAATGATGCTTCGTCAAATGCAAATCGTTGTTGAAATGCCATAAATCAGTTATTTCATTAATAAAATGAAAGTCGTATTTCGTACGTACCATATATGGTTTTCTGTGCTAATAGGTAACAGCTCAGTAGGTTTGGGAAGTTCACAAGCAGCACCAAAAACATGGGCCTTTCTAGGTATAATATGATCAGACTCTCCTAAATATAGCTTGTGTTTCATTAGTGACCATTAGTGCATAAACTGCTGCACGGAAAGATTGTTTCACCACTTAAAAAGCCAGACCTACTCAAATGAGACATTTTTCCGAGATTCATTTTAATTGTCTTGGATACACCCTGTTGAACAATGTTTGTTGATGGTAAGTAGTTAAAAAACGCTTTTTATTCTATCTTATTAACAGAAAGTCAACCGTGTGATGAGCAAAGAAAACAGTCTTTAAATGATTTTATACCATTCGAATTTGAATGGCTCGGAATGGCTCTATTATTAGTTTCATAAACATGTCGTCAATTGCCAACTATTGCAAGCACAGTGAATGCAAACACCATTAGATTCGGCTCACGCTGTGACACGAGCATAAGCTCCAAAAAATATAGATGTAGAGATTAAAAGGGACGACGAAGACATAATCTTAAGAATGCTGTTTTTCTTTGTTTCGTCTTTTCCCTTTAATTAGCTTATAGTGTTTTTTTTTTTCAATGCACGCTTGGCTTCATTGCTCAGTTTTTCTTTCATTCTCGTTTGTGCTCTGGGTGTTAACCGACGTAGTTTAGTTTTATGTGTTCAACCAGCGGAAACAAATTTGAGAAGTACAATGAACTGCAAACAAAAAATAGGCGAAGATCCCCAGCCAGCTAGACCGGCTATACTGCAGATCTAATATGCGATTAAAAATAACTTCCTGAGGCCGAAAACTTTCAGCTGATGAGAATTAGATTAATTGATTACTAACCTTTTTAATGAGTAGCTTGGACTTTACTTGTCTTCTCGCAGTAAGTGTTTCTGGCATTGCTCCTTCGCTTGACATTAACTTAAGTTAACTTATCTACTAGCTTGGCATGACATGTTAATCGATCCACACAAGCGAATCCCTCGTTGTTGCCTCAGGCAAGAAAGATTTCACTAAAGTTTGCCATCCTACCGTGTGTTTCTGGTGACTTTTATCTCGGACTTTAGATTTTACGATTACATTATCTTTGCTGCACTGAAAGAAGACTGCCTTCTTCGCGAAAATAAAAGATATATTTAAAAGCTCTAGATAAAACTATCGGACATGTAGACGCGCCCGCGTCCGTCTGTGAAGTTTTCCCGCTCTTCTCACAATCGAATTACCCCTCAAATATGATTGGCTAATGACTTCCGTCGCGTCGAGTACGGGTAGAGAGAATTTCATGTTCAATCATCAATTCCATATATAACAAAAAATGGAGGACAATAGAAGCAATTTTTATTCATGTTTTTGAACATTTTTTATGAGTAACTTTCTCCGGTGATACAAATTCGATGTTTCTAGTATGTCTGATCTGATGATGCCGTAAAAGAACCCCGATCGATACTTTCAGATAAATTTCAGGACCATTTTCTTTTATTTGTACTGACATAACTACACTATCTCTGACAAGGCGAGTTGTGATATACTTATCTCGGTATTATTATCATTCTATTATTATCCTGGTAACATTCTTTACTTATTAGTTATTGACCTCGGAGGAGACAACGTAAAGGCTTCCGCATATGTACGTGTTTAGTTCTTGGTTCTCAATTTTGATCTGCATTGCATTTTGGGTAGAATTAAGGCACCATGGTGTTGAGTTCTGTATGAAGGCTGAAGTTTCAAATTATACTTAAATTTTATTCAATTTCTAGCAGTCTTAGCAGTAAAACTGTATTTTTATGCATTCTATTGTTAGTTGTGTTTATTTTATATGAAATATTTTGGGGCTAAAACACAAATTGTCTAGTAATTCTAGATATCAAACCGCAGGGACAGATTTAGCGAGAACTTTGCCTTGAAACAGGGCGTCATAAATTTTATATGGTCATTCCTGTGTTACATCAGTTTTAACTCCCACGCTATATTCAATAATTTAGTGACCAAAAAAATTCAAGTGATATGTGATATCGGCGATGAGAGTGTGCTGTGATCGGATGGTCGTAGCATGAGGTGATACAACGTTTGTTTTTCTTCTCAAGAGCAGATTCTTGTGTGAGATAAAGACTATTGTTTGTTTTATACACGGAATGCATCGAAAAGTCACGCGAGTAAAACTCCGATGACTTGAACTGAATAAAAGTTTGATCAAAATATATTTACGATCTTTCTATCTAGAAAACTATCTGCATGGCACGGCTGCAGATTTCAAATTTTACGAGCAAATTAAGCGTATATGAAACTTGCGTTGACCAGTGTATTTTAAAAACTTGCGGCAGCCCTCGAGTTTCTTTTAATTTCAGTTTTTATCGTCCGGAAAAGCTTGATGGATACATACCAAGTATCATGACATAGAAGCATTTATTATACTCATCGATACTTCTCTGTATAAAGTCTTTCTCGAAATTTAATACGGCTGTTTGTTAACTGCTAGTGTTTTGAATTTTGGGAGACTTGTTAAAGATGGCTACAGACATTGTGTTCGAAAGCCCGAGTGAGGGATGAGATCGGATAATTCTATCAATCATTTATGAATTCTAAGTCTAAATATTCGCTTTCCATTACCCATATGCAATATAAAACTTAATTGATCATGTCATGGAGACCTACCATCTGTTACTGTTAGTTTGAGAGTATTTTGTTCCCATAGTATTCATAAAAACACAGGATAGACATGATAATAATCTCGGCTTCACCTTCTGACAATACTATCCGGTGTTTTTCAGACTTCTGACAGAACCACACAAATATTGTAGGTTAAATTTGATATGTTTGTAGGGGGCGAAGAACGACCTCTCAATGCAATCCCTAGAGTTATACCTATTTGTTTATTTAGTATATAAACTTAATATGCCTTGGATGATGACTTAAAGGTGTTAACAGTGAGAAACGATTTTTGCGATTCTTTTCAGCTTTTTCTGATTGAAATTGGGCTGAGGGGTGTTTTCACAGGCGGCTTTTGGTGTGAAGAGCGTGAGACTGTAAAACACTTGGATAACTAGTGCACATAATCTATAAAGAAGCCCTTTGAAAATTACAAAATAATACTCATAGATTTTTTAAGAAATAAAAATAAAACTGACATGAAAATGTGTTTGAAAAGAAAGAGACAGCTACGACAAAAATAGACTACGGCAGTTCTTGATAGACGTATCAATGTAATGACCGTAATTGACGATAATACTCAAGACCAACTCGTAGCAAAAGCTGACCATTGTTCGTTTATTTGGATATTCCAGTCAGACTTTAAATATAGATAGGATAAAAGCCTAGAGGTTTTTATACTTAAAGAAAATGCTTGTCACAGACCAACCATGTGTCAGAGCAACCATACTGAACATAGCCTGAGGCAATTTTATACGCAAGATGTCAGTCGCACATATATACTGGCTCAGTCTGAATCATTTATGAGTATAAACATGAATTTGCTAGTTTCTCATCTGAGTTGGCAACTTTAAGTTCTAAAAGAGGCGTTGTTTGGCACAGAAGGTATCACAACGAGTTTTCAGCCACTTTAGTTTTCTATCACCACCAGTAAATATTACATATATAGTTGACAAGAGTTGGCGCTTTTATCTCAACCAGGAGTTATTCAGGACTTTTGCTAAAGCGCTTATCTTGATGGTCTACTTGATGAGCGACCGGATTCACGCATTCATTGAAAAACAAGTACACGTCCCAGTACACTTTGGACTCGATTTGTTTCAACAGAGTTAATAGAGGCAGCCTTAAAGGCTTTAAAAGTTTACAGGCATATTGATCAGTTGTGTGACTGTTTTTTGCTTATACAGATTGTTGAATGCATTATATTCAGTAGGGTAAGTCATATTTGTCATTTTCACGCTGTTTTATAGACTATCTGTTTTATACCGTTATTTTCTTTCGTCTTTTATTGATTGTATTAACCGCCGGGGATCGAAAAATCTTACACAATCTTTGAATTGTGCTCTTAAATATTAAAAAAACTCATCAGTATAGCATCTTTTTTTTATTTTGACAATGACTAAAACATTTCATTTATCATTGGACTCCTCTTTGAAGTTAAATTGCTGATACAATTTTCAATAATTCATATATATTTATCTAGCATGATAAATTCACGATTAAACATTATATTATATGCGGTACATACTATTAGTAGCCTGTTTTTTATGCTGCATGCAAAGCAGTCTGGGGAGAAAATTCCGGATGCAACGCGTATTCTTCAGTCAGATAGTGAATAAAGTTTCCCTAAAGTATAGGCCATATGTAACAGTTTCTTGGATTGGCTCAATAACAAGTTATTTATATGATAATGGCCTTGGGAGACGCATTGTGGGAACCTAATCTAATATACCGCAGCGTTTTCGTCAACATTAACAGTTTATAATTGAGATCAAATATTATTAACGAGAAGACTATATTGACACATTTTTTTCTCTTCATGCAGAGTTCAAGTGGCTCTGGCTAATATGGTAACCGTAGAGCAAAACATAACAAAAAATTTGTCAACAAGGGTGCCTGTGCAAGTCAATTTAACAAGCAGCAGTGTCCCAGTCAGCATGGAATGGTTTCGCATAGTCAAACTATTCTTATATGTCACAATTTTCATCGTTAGTGCAGTAGGAAACTCCATTGTTTGTGCCATCATTCTACGACGAAAGAAAATGAAAACAGTCACCAACTATTTCATTCTCAACTTGGCAATTGCCGATTTGGCTTTAACGTGTATTTGTATTCCATTTGACATTCCAGTCCAAGAAATGAACTACGTATGGCCGTACGGTGGCTTTATGTGTAAAATACTGTACCCGCTACAAACTTTAGCACTGTTTGCTTCTATTTATACCCTGACAGCGGTGAGTTTGACGAGGTACTGGGCCATCGTCAAGCCTTTAAGGGTCCAACTCAGCATCTCTAAGACAAAGTTTGTTATATTGATAATCTGGCTGGGTTCTCTTGTCCCTATTGTTCCTTATGTTAATTCACTGGAACTGAAAAAGAATGAATGTGATGAGAGATGGAAAAGTAACAATATGAGATCTACGTATACCGTATGTCTGTTTGTATTTCAATATGTACTACCACTATCAATTATCGCCACGGCATATACAGGAATCGCGATGGAGATGCGGAAAAGAGAGACCGCTAGATCAGAACACTGCCCTGTAAGACAGTTACAGGTTCAAGAAACTCGCAAAGTCGTTAAAATGCTTCTAGTTGTGACTATTGTGTTTGCGCTCTGCGTGCTACCAAACAATATCATGTGGTTATGGCTGGATTTTGGGCAAGCAGATAAAAAAATTACATACTTTTATGAGCTTTTAGCTTTTTGTCAGATTGTGACTTTTGCTAATAGTGCAGCAAATCCCATTTGTTACACTGCATTAAATGAAAATTATAGAAGAGAATTCAAAAGATTCTTTATGGGATTGTTCTGCAAGAACAAATCAGCGAGAATGTTTTTCCGTTTAAACACGTTCACAACATCAACACGTCCGTCAACAAAATCCATCGCTAGAACGGACGAAAATGCGAACGGCATGAGAAATGGTAACAGCTCACTACCAATGATTTGAAGACTTGTTCACTATTTGATACTCTCCACAAGGCGTAAATTACGGGAAAGTAGCGTAAAAATCAATACATGATCAATCCTAGCACTATATCCCAGACGTCCTTGTACAGACTTGCTTATAACTGTTATAAAGAACATGCAAGAACCTGGGCCACAGCAGGTTGTTTGTCTGCGGGGCCGAATTCACATGAATATATTGCAAGTTCAAGTTAGTCTACGTTAATTAGGCCTGTGTACTTGTCAGTAATAGATCTATTACTCGAGTTAATCAATTGAAAACCATTGCTTTTGCGGCCTGCTGGCAAACGTGGTCAGCGACTGACCCAAAATAGAACAACCTGCTAATTATGGTTTCTAGTAAATCTTATCATAATAGAGGATACTCAACATCGATTCAAATAAATGTGAATGGTCGAAAGATTAAATGCGAAAAAAGTGAAGTGCTGAACATTAGAATGGATTTACACTAAGACTTCCATTCCATATTCCCTATACAGTTTTTTATACAAAAGAGGGCTCTGGGATTCTAAGTCGCGAATGACTTTCGAATATCACTGTGAATCTCTCTTCTTGGGCTTCCTGTGTACACAATTGGGAGTGGCGAGAGCGGCTCCGGTTTTTGGTCGCTAGTCCCCTCTCTCAAAGCTGTTACAAAGGTAGCCCAATGAAGGATTTCGATAAATCATCAAATTTTCTCACATTTCAACTATTCATTCATCATTTAATGTGACCTAATCGCGAACTTTGAAATATTTCTTACCAGGTCCTCTTGTATTAATTTGTCTCAAATCTCATTATGCTGAATGATTTGAAATTCCGAAAACCTGAAATCCTTGATAAAAACTCCTTTTGTTCACCCTTTTTCCCATTGTCGGACATTAAACATCACGCAACAGTAGAGTGACCGCACTTAATCCGTGCAACTGTACAGACTAAATAGTTCTATGTAGTTGTATTTAGTAATCAAGCATGCGGTACGCAAATTACATTGCATTGATACAAATGAAGCATTCAATACCGTCTTGCTTCAGGTTCACAAGTTAATACTACTTAGAGAGAGCACAAGTTAATACTACTTAGATTTTGTATAGTTGCACGGATCAAGTGCGTTCACTCTATTGAATGCTTCATTTGTATCAATGCAATGTAATTTGCGTACCGCATGCACGATCACTAAATACAACAAAAATAGAACTATTTAGTTTGTACAGTTGCACGGATTAAGTGCGATCACTCTACATACAGTCGACTAAAATATTTGTGTACATACAAGGTAAGCCTTACGGACCTTACGAGATGAATTGAAGAAATGAAGCCATTTGCAATGACTAAGGATGAATGATTTAACATAATGGATTTGATCCCACCCACAACAGCACATAAAACAAACATTTGAAGAGTCCTCCTTTATTTAGAATCAAATACTTCAAAGCAGTGCCTAGAATACCAATTTAGGGATTAAAAATTATTAGAAAAAGTCGATTAAAACACTAACGTTTATTATACTGGAAGAGATTGCTATTTTTGAAGTTGGTAAAATTCAGAAGCTTTGCTTTATGTCATCATTACAAACCATTGCAAGATCAATGATGAAATATTACGATTATTGTTGGCCCACAATTCCGTGGGGGTTGATTTTTATCGAGATTTACGAGCAAAGCATTAATCAAAGTATAGTCACATCCGTATTGTGCTAGAACACTGTATTTTTACAGTGGTGATTTTTGTCTATGGGGCAATCAAAAAGGAGCACAGAAATCCCAAATCAAAGACAGCATTGAGATCAATTGAACATTCTATATTGGCTAGATCGGAACTATAGCTTTTTGCCGTCCAATGTTTGGGATTCCTGTGTATAGAGAAAAAAGTCAGATTGTTTAAAAAAAAACATGAAAACACCAGAGAATCTACTCTGGAAATTCTTTCAGTACCTCACAACAACAAATAATTACACAATCAACTCCATAACAAATCATTTCACTTCACAAATGCTAAAAAACCAATAGAAAAAAATTAGAAATAGTTCACTATGATCACAATTAATCGATCCAGCGAGTTCCCCCCTTAGTTTTACAGGGTAAAATTACTGTACAGTTGCTCCGTCTACACAGAAATATTAGCCTGTAAGAGAGATTTGATGTCATTAAATATTCAGAGCCTAAAAACACACATATCCTTATATGGACCATGGATGTATGATATAATAGCGAAGCTTCAAATTGAATACAAATATCATATGCCCAGCTGGACTGTATTAATAGTACGTTTCCTTATCCAACCAGCCTGAAAATAAATAGATAACAACATTAGATATTCAAATATATGCACCTTTCATTTCATATTTATCATGTAAAAATACTTACATCCAGGGTATCTTCGAAGTATATAACGCCGAACTTCATCATAAATCCAGATAACTAAGCTGAATGGGAAGGCTGGGAACCACCAGTTCCAACTAAAAATGACAAATCAATTATACACAACGCCCAAACAACAAATTTTTCTACTTAACGTAAAAAAACGGTATCAGCAATCAACATGAAAATTTTAGATAACGATATTTCTGAGCTGTCACTCAGCATCCAATCCTATTTTACTTACTTAAGAGGGTACATATTAAGACCGTATGCCATTCCAGGTGTGTAACTGAGGAAGACTGCAAGGAGTGTCTCGAAAAGAAGACCAAAGTTCAACATTTTATTCCTGGAAAAGAATATTATGTTTAGATATTTCAAATGTGGCTAGGAGCTTTATGTAATATATAAAACAATAAAACGACGAGAATAATCATAGACTGAAAAGAAAAAGTATTTTGTCCACTTATTTCTTAGTATAGGTTAACAAAGAAACTTACTTCATTCCCTGGGTGAATAAACTGTTTCTTCTGGTCTTGCAGATAATTAAATCAGCCCATTGAACAATGACAATACTTACGAAGAAAGCAGTATGGCAAGTATATTCTAATATTTTACGTTGTTTGTATGACTGTGGATAGAAATAGTGGATTGAGTTAAAAATGACTGGTTTTGAAATACCAATAAATTATCAAACTAAAAATCTGCTAACTATACAAGAAACACAATATATGTTACATTCTTATTTCTTCAGAATAGTTAAAATGAATCAAAGTTGGGTTCCTTTGCAGCTTAGCAGTAATATATCATCAATACAACCTACCCATTCCTGGCCATAGCTGTCCATTACAGAGTTGTTTCTACGATCATCCCATGGTTTTCGCAATCCAAACATATCTCTTGGAAAGAAACCGTTTTCACCCATGATCACAAAGTAGGTAAAGAAACCTGCACAGGCCTAAACAACAAAATAGCAAAATTGATATTCTTTTATTCTGTCTTGTTTGGAATTGTTGCAATGGATCTTTTTCACAGTCTCAGCTTAAAATCCAAATAATTTGTTTTTTATTTTGGTATTTAGTAAAAGTGGGTTGAGTTTTGCTCACCTGCATCATACCAATCTGTCCATATGCCATTGAAATCAATCTGTGAATTGCACTCTCATTAGTCTTGGAAAATTCATACTTTTATGAAATGTGAAATCACAGTGATATTAATTCTCTGGGATACATATATCAAATTAGATTGTTTCTTTTACCTTTCATTCACAAGGTTATCAGTCTTAGGGTTACGTGGCAACCTCTTCATGATGTCATTTTCAGCTTCTTCATAGGCAAGAGAAATAGCTGGTACCTAATGAATAACATATTTGGTTATGGTTAACATGCAGTCAAATAGTGATGCAAATAGTACTAAGAGTAGTGTACATAAGATATTGATATGCCAAATGGTAGTGAGGAATCGTTGATTCTTACCATGTCTGTTCCCAAGTCAATACATAAGATAGTGATGGTACCAAGAGGAAGAGGAATGTCCAAAATGATAAACATCAAGAATGGAGAGATCTCAGGGATGTTACTTGTCAAAGTGTATGCAATAGACTTCTTCAAGTTGTCAAAGATAAGTCGACCTGGAGACAAAAATCAATTTCATTATTAAAGCTAAGATGTTTTAAGGACTAAATACATTTTATTGATAAAAGCAATTTGATCTATTAATTAAAAATAGTTTTAAAGATAGGGAAATAAAAATGTGTTCATCTCAGCCTTTTGTTGTGACTAGCACAAAGTATAAGCAATTGACATCTGATGCAAGTAATTTACTCTTTTATTCAGAATTTAACTGGGTGATTGAAATATGGTTCTTACCTTCCTCTACCCCAGTGACAATGGAAGCAAAGTTGTCATCCAAAAGAATCATGTCAGCAGCTTGTTTAGACACATCAGAGCCAGCGATTCCCATAGCAACACCGATGTCAGCTTTCTTCAAAGCAGGAGAATCATTGACACCATCACCAGTTACCGCCACGATAGCACCATTACGTTGACAGCCTTCAACGATAATCAACTTCTGCTGAGGTGAGGTACGCGCAAATACAATCTCTGTGTGGTTCTTGAGAACATCATCAATCTGTTCTTGGTCCATGTCCTGTTTAAAATCAACAATTCTATTATCATAAAACATATAACTTTTTAACAGCAATTTACGAATTTTCATGACTTAGCATCAAACCTTCAACTTGTCACAAAAACAAAACCTTCATGTACCTTAAGTTTTGCTCCATGAACAACAATGGCCTTGGCTTGTGATTTGTCAACCTGATCAACAGGAATATTGAGACGCTCTGCAATGTCTTCCTCTGTTTCTGTGCCTAGAAAGATGACCAAAAGACACTTGGTTAATAAAACAAAACATCCAGTGCATCAATGAATGAATGAATTACGCTAATACTTTCATTACCTGCTGAGATAATTCCAACACCCTTAGCAATAGCCTTGGCTGTGATTGGATGATCACCAGTAACCATGATAACTTTGATACCAGCACTGCGGCATTTACTAACAGCATCAGGAACAGCAGCTCGTGGAGGATCAATCATGGACATCAGTCCAACAAAACATAGTCCAGTCAAGGGGAAGTTTGGAGGCTGTTCAAAAGACAAGACTCATTTATATTGATCTTTTGAAGTTGAATACGAATCACTACTTAACTAAAGCAAAAAAACTTATTACAGATACTTTAAATGTAAACCATTATCATTAGTGAACGTTGTTCTATTCTACTTACATCTTCAGGGTTAAATTCAAAACCTTTGGGGTATTCTTCGGCAGGCAACAGTTTCTGACAGAATCCTAGTACACGCTCTCCAAGTCCACCAAGGTCTAAGTAGGCTTGATTAAATGACTCCTGCATCTTGTCATCCATCTCTTTGACTTCTCCATCAATCATTATATGAGAACACCGGTCTAGAATCCTTTCTGGGGCACCCTTCATCACTAGAACATGATGAAAGTCTTTCTCCTTCTCATTCTCTGGTAGGTCGTCTTTACCTTCCTCCTTCTGGTGAAGCTCATGGATTGAAACTTGGTACTTATTGGTAGAGTTGAAGGGAATTTCACAGACTTTGGGATGTCGCTTTCTATATTGTATCACATTACCAATTGCAATTTCAACATACTTGAGTAGGGCTGACTCTGAGGCATCACCAGCACATTCCCTGAAAGAAACCAAAGATGTAATAAAAATCAAACAAATAACCGGAGTATATTCAAGGAGAAATATACAAAAAGAGAAAAAAGGAAAGAGTGGAAATGAATGAGAAAGAAGAAACGACTGAAAAGAAACCTCTAATTATTGCAGCATGGGGACACAAGAAGAGAAACTTACCTTTTAAGAACAGGTTTATCTTCTTGACCAGCTTTAAAATTTGCACGATTACACAAAGTAGCAACGCGAGACAATGCTCTCCATGTTTCAGTGTACTACATGAAAACAGCAAAGATTTTCTATTAGGTTTAAATACTTCAAGTTTACAAGAAAATGGTTGACTCAATTATTTCACCACTTTTCATCATATTTTTTGACAGCAATAGTAAATAATAAGATATAAACACCTTTTCTGTATCTCCTCCCTTCTGCTCTTCACTAGTGTCAGCTTCAACAATATTATTATCATACCATAAGTGAGCTAGGAAGGAAACAAAAATACCATATTTACTCTAAAATTGTTAAACGCTAAATTTGTCCATTGTCTTAACATCCATTCAGTCTCCTTGAGAAAGAATAATAAATTATTATTTTATTTTGATCAAATATTAGATTTTGGAAAGTATCTTACCAACAGTCATCCTGTTTTGGGTAAGTGTACCAGTTTTGTCTGAACAAATGGTAGAAGTGCTACCAAGGGTTTCCACAGCTTCAAGATTCTTTACCAAACAGTTTTTGGATGCCATACGCTTTGCAGTTAAAGTAAGACACACCTATGGTTACACACACAAGACAAACACTTAGTATAACATGATTTAGTGATGAGAAAATATCTTCAAAGATGAATATTTTTCACTTTATAAACTGAAATAAAAGAAATTAAATCCATAACAATTACTTACTGTAACCGTTGCTAAAAGCCCTTCAGGTACATTAGCTACAATGATACCAATAAGGAAAATAACTGCTTCAATCCAGGCATAATCTAAGGCCATTGCAATAATGAAAAATGTAACTCCAAGGAAAACTGCAACACTGGTGATAATATGGATGAAATGCTCAATTTCAATGGCAATTGGTGTCTTTCCGGAGCCTAGACCACTGGCAAGATTAGCTATACGTCCCATGACAGAGTTGTCACCAATTTGGACAACAACACCAGTGCAATTGCCTTCTAAAGCGTAAGTGGAAAAGAAAGCTAGATTCCTTGTTTCAAGAGGATTATCACTTGTACAATCTGGACTTCTAGATTGAGGCTCAGACTCCCCAGTAAGAGAAGAGTTGTCAACCTAAGGATTAAGCAAAAAGAAACTTAAAAATACAAAACCTTGATTGGATACTTGAACACAGTGAAGGAAAAATAGAATATAAAGTTGCTAGTGTTAGGCACAAGTGCTATAATGATACTATTTTTCTATATAAAATTAGCTATGCAACATTCTATAGACAGACTGTTTGCAGAGTAGTGAAAAGATAACCCCTGGGCAATTGATCTGAGAAGGATCACCACTAACAGGTCATGTGACCACTCCTCCTGTTTCAAAGATGGAGTCACATGACCTGTCATCTATTGAAGACTAAATTTATGCTTTTATACCTTAAAACTTTTGGCTTCCATAACACGAAGATCCCCAGGTAGACGGTCACCACCCTTGACATAAACAACATCACCAATACAAAGGTCTTCACTTGGTACGGTGTGCTGTCCACCATCACGAAGGACATGAGCTTCTTCAGGAACCATGTTCTTGAAACTGTCCATAATCTTGGAGCTTTTTGCTTCCTACAGAGTAATTGCATCATTACATTATTATCAAGGATATAATTCTTTGCGAGCTACCTTCTTCATTCTTGCATTTCCTCACAAAATCCCTCACAAGATTGGTGTACACTCTAATTTTTCATATCAATCAACCTTGACTACGCTCAAATACTAAACATTTAATTATGCTAAATTATCATCATGCTTGTGTTAACATCATTGTACTCCATTATGTATTTTACCTGGTAGTACGAGAAAAGGCCAGTAAGGATGACAACAACAGCCAATGCAACACCAAGATACAACTGAAAATCAATTAACCATAGCATTGTTAAATGGGTTATAACACAACAGTAAATATCAGTCTATTTATTACTTACATTATCTTTTGAAGGCTCTTCCATTGTACCTTCCAACACACCCTGTGCAATAAAGCACAAAATTGAGCCAATCCATAAAAGTGTAGCAAAGCCACCGAATAGCTGCTTTGCAAACTTGATCCATTCAGGAGTGGTTGGTGGTGGTGTTAGTGCATTGGGACCATCACGCTTCAACCTTCTAGCAGCTTCTTCCTGAGTCAAACCCTAAAAAACCCACAAGTTAAAAATGTACTCAGCATACTTTTATCCAAATTTAAGTAAGAAATAACATTTTCCTTCATCTCTAGAGCAAAGGTTTGGATTAATATATCACTGCAATAAGGGTACCAATACCAGTGCCTAGAGTTAAATAGATAACAAAACTCTTGTCAAGTGAAATAAAACCTTATTAAATAAAAAGCAGGTAAAGTCACAACAATACTCATGAGGTAAAATACATTGACATAGCAAATATCATGAATTTATTACTTGCAGGCAAATCCTGGCTTATCTTATGAGACTTAAAGAAATTAATCCTATCTAGCATTATTTGTTTTGTATATTACTTATCAAGGAATTGCCCTTTTATTTCTTAAGGCTACCACTAACAAGAAAGCAGGAAGTAAAAGCATTGATAAATCCACTCTTTTATAAGACAATAAGTATAATACATACTACTGTTTTGCTCAATCTACCTGTGATCAAATTAAAATAGTCTAGATAATCAAACACTTTGAGTAAGAAACAAATAAGACATTGTCGAGTAAATACATGTATCCCTAAAGACAACACAAATCCACTAGTTTTACATATTGTCAAGAGTGTATAAATACCTTGACACACTATAAAAAATGCATATTTACATTTAGTCTTATGTTTACTCCTTACTTGTGGTCAATTCTACTTTGAATTCTGGTAACATTATTTAAAATATTTTAGAAAAGCACACTAGAATTTATAATACAATGCAATTCCACATCACATTTTCCGCATAAATCTTAGGATTTTTGGATCTACTTATGGAAATCATTGGAAAAAATGCTGAAAAATAACTTCATCATCATCATATACAAAGGTCAAATTACATTCAGGAAAATAACATCTTTCTTTACATGACATATAAACTGAAACTTGGAAGACATGACTTTGTCTATTGTAAACAGGTTATTCAGACTAGAATGCCTCCATGGAAGAGAACATTCTGCCATTAAGAATTGACTGTATTAATAAAATATCTTGAAAATTTTACAAGTGAACTAAAGAAAAAACCATTAGCATGTTTCTTCAATTATCAAATATTAACTTTAAAAAAATAAAATGCATATTTTTTATCAAATGCAAATTATGTTTTTGCAGATAGCTTTACTGCTGTTGCTATTTAATTCTCTATGAATACATATATCAATTTTCTTTATCTTTTGCATCATTCTAAGTCAAACATTCTTTAGAAACAATATGTGTCTAATAACTCCAATTGCACACAAGCTGATTTACAGCAATTCAATCACCAACACTGTGGGGTGTTTTTTTATGCATACATTGTTATTTGTGTCCAAAGTTCATTTGCTTGCTTTTGGAATTTGTACTGAATGATAGCAGAAAAAGTAATCTTAGCAATTCTATGCCATGTCCCAATGAATAAAAGATATCAACAACAATGCAACTGGTGGGACGTGGCTTATTGAACTAGACATGTTTTCCTTGGAACTTTATCAACAAAGCCAGAGATGAATTGCATTAAGTGAGGAGCATAAGTAATATAGCATAAACCCTTGCTAATCTACATGAATACAATGCCTTGGACACAATCAGATTTAATTGATTGAATTATTTCTTGGCCTATCATGTTGATCATCATTATCTGACTTCACATTTGTATGTCTGTCTTTTGGTGTTAGAGATTACAAAATCATTCTGCAAATTCTAAGTATAAAATCAGCTTCAGATATGAAAGTTTATTATAATAGTGTTACAAGAATTTTATCAAAGCATTATGCAATCATATTGAAAACTGGAAATGGTAGTGTTCCCAAAAAAATTACAAGGCAGACAACATAATAATTTAGAAAATAATCATTAGAAAGACTCTTCGTGTGGATTATAAGTAGATCAAGTTAAACAATTTAGAATTCCCATGAGAGTTTAGAATCTCTTTGGTTAGAAGCAGACTTTGAACAAAACACTCAAAGGATTTCAACTGAAAACGAATGATGAGCATCTGATCTCTGTGATCGCCAGGCTACAAAAAGTCTAAATTTTAAATACAATATCTCGTAGATCGAACGTTTCAAACGTATACCAAAGTATTTGTTGACATTTATGCAATGAAGCACAACACCGCTCATCTGGTGTCCCCCATACATATTAAAGCACTTTATAAATAGACCATGCTTGTTCAGTACTTGAGGGAAATTTCGCCAAAACAGTGTGTTATTTAAAAATCAATTTCACTATCACATAAAAAGATAGATAAACAGGGATTTTAAAAGAACAAAATTGAATAAATTGTTATCGTGGAGCGTTTCATTCAATTTGAACACGTTAAATACTTCGTGGATCTTATTTTGAGCTTGTAGTAATATGATATGATGGTCTACAGCACAAGATCTGCAGGTGCAATATGATATTCCTCGAAGAGGGAGGGTGAACCAGTGTAATTCACTACAGTTTTATCGACAAAAACCTAAGTAGATTCCAACTTATCATAATAAAATTGCACAACAACGATCGCGGCTAACAAGGCAAAGGTATTAATGAAATGCTTCAGCTGTTGAAGACGCTATTTACTAGTGAAATTATGTCGAAAAGTCCAACGATTACTAAGATGAGATCAAAATACAGAAAAATATCACAAAATACAATCAAGCCATTACTTTTTAATAGCAAGGATTTTTCGGATTTTTGCATTTTTATTGTGACTAAAGCTTAAGCTTGAATGGTTCCAGAAAGATTCTCGTTGTAAGGGGTCCGATTCTCGTGCTTGCTTCGCTTGTTCGCACTAACGATTTATTATTACCCAACATCGGAAATGAATTTGCAAAGCAAAAATAGTTCTATACTTCACTGAAACCAACCTAAGTCTAATGCAATTAGTAATTGAGAAATAAATAGTCTTCTAAGGTTCACTGCACAAACATACAGTTCGCTTACCGTCTCAAGGTTGGTTTCAAGCCGGGCTAACAACTCCTCTTGGGTTATCTGATGCCAGTCCTGAAACACATTGAAAAACAACATGTCAACATTTAGTAATGTCTCCAGATCCTTCTGAAATATTTTTTAAAACCTACCATTTCCATTTCCTGCTTTAACTCTTCGAGGTCCGCTTTCTTTTGCTTCTTTCCCTTCTTGGTTTTCTTGGCTTTCTGGTCGCCATCTTTGGCTTTAGCTTTCTCTTCATCGCCAGTAAGTGGGGTTGTAGCTACTCGATAGCTGTCGCTATGTCCAAACTAATATTGAAAAATAAGAGAAAAATATTAATATCATACATCTGACTAAAATTAGATAATTTAAGCTTCGAACCTCTTCCTCTTGCGGAGGTTGAAGTTCCTGAGTGTCCGCCATTTCGTACGCACAAGCCGGTCCGAATACAAGGGGAGTAACACACGTGGAGTGTGAACGAACCTGTCAATCATGCCTACGTCACGTGGTAGTGGAAAACCACTTATGACGTTAAAAAGTCCACATGGGAGAGGAGGGTGCGTCAAAAGTTTTACTCACCGCTTCTGGATCACCATCTACTCCATATTTATCCTGCAAATAGAGGCCTCCCAACTCTTGTTTGTTATTCATTTTTCTAAAAATTAATAATAAAATGCGTGAAAGGAAGCATTTCTATTTCATACTCGCACCAGAAGACGAAAAAACGCTAAACTTCTCAACTTGTCACTTACAGTACATAGAAAACTCTTACTTAAAGCCAAAAAAGGAAAGAAAACAACAAACAAAACGAAAGCCACCTTTCAAAACGTCAACTCCGCCAGTCATTTTTATAAGGTCATAAGGCATCGTAATGCGTGACAATATAAGCAATCAATCAATATTCATTTGAAAGTTCCTTCAGACCACAAAACTATAAAATACAAAGATAATAATAAAACGAAATTCTTTTCAAGCCAGGGACATTTTTCAGTCAACTTTCTATCGAACCAAGGAAATATGTTACGATTTGTAATGAGTTTGTGACAAAAAAATTGTGATGATAAATGATCCCATGATAATAATCATTTGACCCTAATACAGTAGAAATGCAGAAGAACACAATAAACACGTGGCTTATAGCAACAACATTGAACTACAAACATGAAAATTCAAGTAAAATATGTTTAGACTAATAATAAGTCCCCACAAAAAAAAACATGATGCACTGTCAATCGGTTCAAAAGGCCAAGCATTAATCTCGTCAAGAGCTACCCGATCGTCGTCATCCAAACAAAGCAAATTTTCGCGCGTCCATCTCTAAAGCAACTACCTCATTATGCATTCAAAATTATTCTAGTCTGAACGCAAAATGCGAAAACCGGCACTTTTTAGCGAGTTTCACGAATTTGGCGCAAGTGTATTGAAATAGTACAACCACAGTCATTGTAACACTTTTCACCAATCTACGAAATACATATGACTTCGTCCGAAATAATCTATGTGAAACTGTGAAGACGGCAGCTTCGAACACAATATAAGTTGATATGAAAAAAGCGTCCCTCTCGATAGCATAGCTTACCTTGATGTTTTTTTTCAAAGATTGCTCATACAGATATTTCAATGTACTTTTCCTTAAAGGTAAATATGAAATATGAAAGCCAAATTACCCAACAAGATGAAAATCCTGTCACCAAGCGTACTTCAACACCCCCTCGAATCAGTTGTCAGAAATCAAATGTATTCATGTACAAGGAAACAATACAGGCTCAATAATGTTTTTTAACCAATCAGGAATTTATTACTGCTTCTTGTATAAACATATGTCGCGAAGTGCTTAGATTTCTAGCAGAAACTGGAACGAGAGTTAAGTCTACGTGTTAACATTCATTTTTTTTCGTTTCATATTTTCTTTCAAAAGTTTTCCCACTTCTATTTTTTGATTCTTCTTTTCTACTATCAATAATCTTTTTCCGTTTGTTTGTGCTGTAGCTCGTATTCGTTGCTGCTTGTTTATTTTTTCGTTTTATTTACCAAGTTAATACAAGATAATCAAGCGATAGTTGACATTTTTACACCCTGCGAAGAAAAAAAAAATGGAAATTCTACATGTCTTGCTAATTCCATACCGTGGGAGACTGGTGAGATAAGATAGCTATTCAAAGATCTTAGATTTCACAAATAAATTTTGAAAAATCTGGACGCAGGTTGCATTCTATTTTTTTTCGAAAATTCTTTGTACAGTAATTATTTCTCAATAGCATTTCTTCGTATGTCAGGCAATGAAAAAGATATGAGATGGTAAGTAAATTAAATAAATCTCAGAGTTCTTGATTTCAGTCCAGTCACTGAAAGGAAAGCAACAAAAAGAAAAAAAAAAGAAAAGAGCAAAAAATCAACAACAACGACAAAAAGCATTAGCAAAGAAACAAAAGTAACAAATAACACCGCTCTTCCCCCCTAAAAAAGGAAGAAAAAGAAAGAAAAACAATCAAACAAGTATATAAAAAAAAAAAAAGAAAAAAAAAGCGATCTCCTTTGCAGTGTCCCCTTTGGGTTCCCTTAGCTTCTCGTAATGAGGATAGTCTGGGCACGAATCCATTACTCTACTCCTACTCCAGCTGACACTCCAGCTTAGTCATTGGAACAAAAGTAGTGTGATCAGCGAAAAATCACTTAAACCAGCAAACCTTTCATAATCATTGACATTGAGCGACCTTTGTGACAGTATAAATATCTGTGTACGTTACAGTTGTAGTCATTCTTTTGGTATCTTGTGGAGAAGGCGCATTGAACTATTTAAAATGGCGTCTGGGGTAGTGAGGTTCGGTACCATTGACTACGCTGTATTTGCACTTATGTTATGTATATCTGTCATCATTGGTATTTACTATGCTTTATCTGGAGGAAAACAGAAAACAACGGCCGAGTTTCTACTTGGTAATCGTAAAATGATGGCTATCCCTGTGGGATTGTCTCTCCTTGCTTCGTTTATGTCGGCCATCACAATTCTTGGTGTCCCTGCTGAAATGTACACGTTTGGGACACAATATTGGATGATAATTATATCTTATGTGATCTTATTTCCCACTGTCGCCTTGGTGTTTGTACCTGTGTTCCGTGCTGTGGACATCACGAGTTCATATGAGGTATACAAACCATGACACTTGTTGCACGTGGTCTGTAGTTGAAAGCCGGGTCGAAATTTACGAGATTTAAAAACATGTTATTTACATTTTAAGATAAACTAAGCCAACAATTTCGTCAATTTCTAATTATAGAGCAAAGCAAAATACTTGATAATAGATAAAAGTTATAACATGACACTGTACAGGATAGAATAGTGTCCTTCATGGTTCCCTGCGACATCTTGAAAGGTAGCCATGCCTTGTCATCGAAGCCCGACAACCGTTGAGCGTGCAATGATAGATACCTGTGAATAATTGTCTGTAGGTGTGCAAAAAGGTTTCTATTGTTGCACGCTCAACGGTTGTCTCGCTTCAGTGCAAAGGCACGGCTACCTTTTAATATGGCGCAGGGAACCGTGAAGAAGACTACCATCATGGTCTGAACACTACTTTCAGAACCACTGTGATAAACAAACCAAAACTGTTTCATTGTAGTGAGATAATCTTTTGAATGGATAGAGCGGACTTATTTAATCAGTGAAACAAATATTATTGCTACAAAATAGTGTTTACTAAACAATAAAGAAGACAGAGGAGTTAACATATTTATTATTAAGTGCCTTTTTAATACTTAAGTTTCACGGATTAAGTGCATCAACTCCAGACAACAAAAATAACTTTTGGAAAATGGTCACCGGTTCAGTAAATACCAGATATTTTCATTGTTTATTCCTTGGAGTCTTGTAAACTGAAGTATAATGTTTCTTAACCTCCTGTTTCAGTATCTGGAAAGACGTTTTTCGTTTGGAATGCGCTCACTTGGAAGTATAATGTTTATCATACAAACGGTAATAAGAGTAATTGTTAATCTTTGAATTATTGGTAGATTTTATTTTACATCCACTTAACTGCAATTTCATGCTTTTCAGTGTTTGTATATGGCTATCGTGACATATGGTCCATCACTTGCTATGGAAGCAGGTATTATTTATAACATATTATTGTTTAAACTTTGTTGAGATAAGGTTTGACTCTTCTTATCTGTGCCTTGTGTGGTAAAGGAAACTGTTATCAAAATAGGGTTGACTTTACTCACTTAAGGTAAATTCCAGGTTTCTTTTGATGGTGGCACTGTTATCTGATAACTAGGTTTCCTAATTACTAGGATTCAGTCTTTTTCCACCAGACCCTGTTGATACATCCTGTCATTCATGGTATATTGGTGTCATACATCACCATGATAAAATGGGTGGAAACTTCTCTTTATTTGGATGCATGTTAATCAAAACTGGGCAAACAGCTTAATCAATATTGCTGGCAAAATGTCCTGAGTCATGTGACCTTGGGAAAAATATTGCAGTTCCTCTTAATCAATGTGTCCTATTCAGTGTCAGTTCAACAGGTATAAAGTTACTAACCAGTATTTTTTGTTCTTAGTGACGGGTTTCCCTGTGTGGATATCGATCTTAGTTATTGGTGTAGTCTGTACAATTTATACAACTATAGTGAGTAAAACAAATAACCATTTCATTAAAACATCACTGACACTAGTGTTCATAGTAGTGGATCCAGGAATTTTGAAAATGAGGTGTAGAATTTCAAAAATATCATAATAGCTCTCATAATAGGAAAAGCAAAGAAGTGTTTAATTACTTTTGATTAAAAACAAATTATTTAGCTTGTTTCGCATGTAAGTTTAACATAAGAAAATGGGTGCAGCTGACCATATCACACTATCCACATATACACTACTGATATAGAACTGTTCTACTGTCTGCTTAATATTGTTAATATTGCATCCATCAATCAATCAATCATTTAATCCTTGTGCATATTTTTTCAGAATATCACTGTTATATTTATTCTTCATCTTGCTAGTCTTCAGTCATTTGGTATAATTTATTGATTGGAAATATTGAATTATGTTCTAGGGTGGTATGAAAGCAGTAATCTGGAATGATGTCATTCAAGTTCTTGTAATGGTTGGTGGGTTGATTGCAGTTGTAATTGTTGGTAGTCAAAGAGTTGGTGGATTTACTCGTGTATGGGAACTATTAGAAAAAGGGGATCGCTTAAAGTTTTTTGAGTAAGTTGTAGTTGATATTTCTATAGCAGATATACTAGTGTTTGGTATAGTTCATTTTATGAGTTCTTTTTCATTCACTTTCTTTCTATTTTTCTTTCTATTCCTTTTCATTCTCTTTCTTTTCTGGAAATAAGAAAAACATTAAAATATTGCCCTTTGTTTTAGCTTCAATCCCGATCCCACCCAAAGACTATCTATCTGGAGCCTCATGATTGGTGGTGCCTTTGGATTGTTTCCTCTATGGGCTGTCAATCAAACAGCGGTACAAAGGTTTCTGTCTGCCAAGTCAAACAAAGATGCCAGAAGGTAAATGCTAAGAGTTATAATTACATTCATATCGTTTGTATAAAATGAATATCTATATTGAAGTCATTCTATTAGTTAAGTATAGTTTACAACATGAGCGGCCGTGTTGTATGGGAATTACAATCTCGAGCCGCAGGCGAGAGATTGTAATTCCCATACAACACGGACGCGAATGTTGTAAACGACTTATAAAACTCCAACACAAATTAACATGAATTACAGTGAGATAAATGACGAAAAATGACAAATAAGGTAACTGCTGAGTTTAGTCCCTATTAAGCATGCGCAATTTACTGCAACACAGAATATTTTGAATAATTATCCATCCCACATGGAAAGCAAGCCATCTGTTGCATAAGCGAGTTCTGTTATCCGTCTTTGATTGCTTCAAAACCTAGTGAAGGTCTATGATGCGACACTAAAACTGAGACCTTTGCTAGTGTTGGGTTGTCTCAATGGTGACGACCGTGTTGTAAATCTGATACAACCACTAGTGGTTGTATCAGATTTACAAGGTCAATCACCTGATTAAATGGTCAGCCCTTATTGGAGCAATAGCTTATGCATTATTAATAAGTTTTATAAATGGTGATAAGAAGTTCACTGTTCTATGTACCATATTTAAGATCAAATTCACATACAGATTACTTCAGTCTTTTATTCTCTGGCCATTGCATTATCTGACAGACTTTGTTTTGTATTTCCTGGTCAACAGGTCTGTTTGGATCAACCTTCCCTTAAGTATCTTTGTTGTATCACTTTGTGCATTGTGTGGTTGCGTCATTTATGCTTTTTATCATGATTGTGATCCAAAGACAAACAAAGCCATCACTAGTGGAGATCAGGTATTTGAATCATTACCTTCAATCGTGGACAATATACATTTAGACACGATAAACTGTTACTCTACTACTACACACATTCTTAGTTTTCTACTGAAGACACGACCTTACAGTCCCTCCCCCACCCCCCATGGTCAATGTTGTCCTTGTACACTATGCCATTGTACTGAAGCATGAAAAACCAAATGAAAATAGCCACCCAACATTGTACAAGGGCAGGATATTGTACCGAGTGGTTGTTGTGTTGTCAAATTGTAATGGTAATGTTGCAATGTCCCGTGTAAAATGTCTAGGATTGTAGATATCATACCAAAGATAGTGCATCAATTATTGTTCTTTGACTTTTTTATTTATGGAAACCTCGTGGAAAAACCTGGTGTTTAAATATTGAATCTAAACATTGTGAAATTGTAACCAGTATACAAAATAAAAACTGGATTGTTCTCGTTAGATTCTTCCTTACTTTGTATTGCATGTGTTGGGTGACATCCAAGGAATCTCTGGTTTATTTCTAGCTTGCTTATTCAGTGGAACTCTAAGGTAGGTTAACAGATTATATTATATGACTTTGTAAGATTATCAAAGATTGCAATGTGATTGACTTGATAAGAAAACAAGTTTGTCCTTTGAGTTGTGTTCACCTTTTTTGGATGTGTGTTGGTGTGCTCTCTAGGACAGTATACAAAGTGTGTTCACTGATATTTAATGTGTGTTGGTACAAATTTGTAATGTAAAATCACTTCATACAATTTGTATCAAAAAGTTTATAAGATGTTGATCGTCTGATAAGCCTGTTCTATCATAGTGCGGTTAGTTACCGTGGAGACCTGGGGGTCTGAAGTTACTTAGTCTTGCCTTTTTTCCTGTTATCTCCTATGTTTTCCATTCTTAGCTGCCGACCAGTTTGTTTCTCTTTTCGTAATGCAAGTCCCGTTTAGTACTTTTCACTATAACTTAGGGTGGAACTTTAATTAAATGCTCTATTCTACACGAAGACTGAGAGTAACGTTGCAACCCTTCGCGGCTTACGGCGAAACCTCGGGCAAATAATGATAATTTGTTTTGGTGGATGTACTTCTACGATAATGACTTTTGAGTATGTTTTATGCAAGCATATTCCAACTTAGAAGGAAGGATTTATTTTGTAATTGTCGTGATTTTTTCGTACTCTTATTTTGCTGACCAGTTAAAAATGACAAATATTGTTGGTGTGCTTAGAATAAACCTCTCTTTTTAAGTAACGTTGGTTCAATGTGTTCATGATATTGGTTTGACACATAATGTCATTCTCTTGTGATGTATAAAGGATGTTAAAAGATACGTCGGACCGATTTATGTAGGTTTTTGATAGTTCTTTTGCGTGCGCTTACTTAGTGTGTATTAGAAATCCTCATTACAACACAGCATACCGCTCTAAGTAGAGGGAAGTCGTCGTCTTGACATTGTTAGCAAGTGTTAGGGTCTATGTCCGACGTATTGCACTTGGTAAATTGGTTTTTGAAATGAAAGCTTTAGACTACGTGGTTCCATGTATATCATCAATTTTTTGTTCTCGTTTTTGCGTGAATAAAAACTTTAACATATATAACAGCTTCAATGGTTAAGATTACAAAATTTTAACAGAGTTAACGAGTAGGTTTGGAATCGTTTTCCTTGTTCTATGTCAAGTGCATTTAACATTTTACTTTTTAAAGGATCCGGAACTCCTTGAGCAAGCTCTGACGTTTTTCCCAAGTTACTCAGCTTTACCAAGGTCACATCCCATGTAATATTCTCTTAATCATTGGTGTAAAGTGGTTTTCACGTTGATTTACCCATTTTCTAAGTCCATCCTGTTTCATTAGATTGACTAACTTTCTCACTCGTACTGACTTTCATCAAAATAATATTCAAATAATATTTGACTAAAAATTTTGACTTTTTCAACTTGAATTTTTGCCGCCTTTATGTAGGTCTCTCACAATTTTCAAATCCTGATTTACATCCAGCAGGGCCTGGGTATGTGAAGTGATGCAATGATGATGATTAGCTATGGGTAGTACAATGCGGAACGGATGATGTGTATGACAGACAACAGGCACGCAAATATTGCATAGGTCTTTCTTTAATTTTTGACTAAGAAAAACTGAACTAGAAAATCGCACAAGATAAAAATTGATGCAAACCAGAACGATTAGCGAGTTACTAACTGTCAGTGAAGCGTCTCGTCAATGCTGCTGTGGTCATTGTTATCATGTGTGTTATCGACATCTGTGTTATCATTTATTTTTGTTGTCTTTGTTCTAACTCTCATCTTTACCATCAGGATCACTGATATTGTTCTTTTCAATCTAGCATTATTGGACACTGGATTACATATATCTTATGACGATCGTTTTCAGTTTTTGATATTTAAAGACTGTATTACCGATAGTGATCACAAACATAGAAAATCTCAGATATTTCATGATTTGGCTTTTTTTGACAGCTCTTTCAATACTCGTCCTGGTTGTTGGTGAAATTGCTTCCCACAAAACACAGGTGAAGGTCAAATGCTCCGGTACAATCAAAAATACTCTGTCAAATTCAATTTATCTGACAGGACTGAACGTCTTGCGGTTTTAGGTATCTTGAATAAAAAGGCTCATTTGTCATTGAAAAACCTATGTCTTGTCGTAAGGTAGCGGTTCGTACGTCCGAAAAAGTTTAGTCAATACTTGATAGTTTTTTAACTTTTTTTACTTAATGAATGAATTTTATTTTTGTCAATATTTCGTTTCACTTCTTCTGACTATTATAAATATAGGCTAGGACTATTGAAATATAGATCAAATTCAGATGATCGTTGAAACTAAGTACGCTAGAGTCAGCAATAAGTACGTCTTATGCATCTCTAAAATGAGTGAATTTCATTTTGATCCTACTTGTATAGAAAAATTTAATCACATAAAATCACTTAATATCATTGACGTTTTCACTGCTCTGATATCACAAACTTAATCCCTCGTGTGCTAGTTATTGTAGGACAGTTTTGCACGATCAAATACTATAGACGGGAGGCAATATTAAAGTACATTGCTCACGCCACAATACTAAAGAAGACATCTTAGATATTTTTGACATTTATACTAGTATTTTCATCCTTTATTCCATGACGTTTTCTCCAATTCTCGTTCTGAATGTCTTTGTATGAAAAAGGTATTAAAGTTCTTTCCTTTGTTGGAATAGGAAGCGGAAAAGGTATTAGTCAATGCGTCGCGTCGCTTTCCCGCCACAACTTTTTCCCGCCATTTTGCTGACGCGCGCGTTTCGCATATTGATGAAGTTTTTATTTAGAAAAGGCTATATCAAGTATACTTAAGGCAAACTCATGAATTATATGAAAAAAGAAAGGTATTGGTTATGTGTGATTTCAAAGGATAAAATCAACAAATAAACCGTACCAAAATAATCATTCTCAAAGTATTGAGATTTCATGTATTTAAGTCTGCGGCAGGTCCAAAAAATAAGTGGCTCGCGTTATGATTAAAACGAAATATCAGGGAATGCGACAAACAGTTTAAAATGAATATTTGGAGCCATAGGTGATAAGATTTTAAGAGCATCTATTTTCATTAGAAAGACAGATTCGTCTCAGGATTGTACTCACTTAATGTCTTCAAAAGGAAGTCTGGTTTGAATTGGCTTAACTCTTTCAAGGAAACCACATACATACTATCCGACTCTATGATTCATGTCATGTCTTGTATAAAACACCGAAATGGCTACAATCAAACTGCTGTCACATTTAGTATCATGTAGGACACTCTTTACTGGTAAAATATGGTCACTGACAATAGAAATGCACTTTTTTCTTTATTTATGTTTCATATAAGCTTGAATTTTATGTTGAATTGAATCAAGTTTACTTCAAAAAACGGAGCCAGCCGTTTTTTTGTTATTTCATTCGTGTCCATAGCTATCTGTGAATCAACTAATTTTGAGATTTCTCCATTTGACGTCACACATTAAACATTTACAACGACTTCCACTGCGTGTAAAGATAAGTTTGTGATTTTTTTGGATGCGCAAAGTCTTTCATTATTTTTTCGACCAAACATTGAATAATTCAATAATAACGAGGTGTCTTTTTCAATAGTAACTCTCAAAATAGCATTATTGCTTCGTTTTCTTTTATTTGCTTTTATATCGTATATTGGTTCTGGGTTTACGGAACCGACGCGACAAGGACATGGCGTTATTCATGCATCACTGTCAGCGCTGTCTTTTGATTATTCTTGGCACGTATGAACCACAATTCTGACCTGATTTGGACTGATGAGTGTGTGTGAAGATTAATCTTTTGATTGTTGCATGGAGAGATACAGGTTTTATCTTGACAAATGAGAGATTTTTGTACACGCGATTTATGAATGAATCTACTACAAAAATAGAATGGAAACAAGAAAAATGAATGAAAAAAAATGTGAGATCAACACGGCAACTAAACAACCAAAAAAAGGAACAAAAAGAAAAGCGGAATCACAAGGCAAGCAAAACAAAGAAACAAAAAAAAAACTTACTCGTAGACTACTGGTACAGGAACAGCAAACGCACACATAAACAGAAAAACAACCTATAAACTAAGCAACAAGAGACCACAAAACAAACTTTGATTAGAAATCGGTCAACAAACGATCGTACTTATAAGAAAATGTGCAAGTCTGAAAAAGGGTGTTGGTTTTATACAGGGCTTGTTACGACTCCGCCTTTCTTTTCGACTACATCAGTACACATTGAATACCTCCAATTTCTTTATTAACTCAGTTTATGGGTGACATTTTGATTTTATTTTTAAAGGCCTATCCTTCCAACGAGCCTGTTTCAGTATCTCGCCTATGTGTTTAGCGTGTTGTAGCGTTCCGATTAGAAATGAATAACTAAGGCTTCTCATTAACAACCCAAAAGTATCGCCGTCATATAACCACAAAGAACTCTAGACATTCAATATCTTCAACTTTGACAGGTTCCGGATTGGTTTGATAGTACGAAAGCAAATTAAACAATTTCTGTAGAGATAGGATGTCATGTTTTGAAAAGCTTAGGGAACCAGAGTAATGATGGAATTAGGTCATGTCCATCGCGGATGTGAATGAAGCTCTCAAGCTTATTACAAAATACTCCCAATGTGATGTTGTATCGTTTTGCTTGAAGTTTGCGGATACGTCGGATTTAACATTGTTGAAATAATGGAACATTAATGATACATTTTCTCTGAAAACAGCTCCGTAGTTGTAGGTGTATCACTAGAAACAGTTTATATTGTGTTAAAATAGGCGTTTCACTAGAAACAGTTTGTGTTAAAATAGTATACGCAAAATGGCATTTTCGTTTAATTTCTTTTAGTTTGCTTTTTGCTTGTTGTATCATCCTATGTGTACATTTAATTAGAAGCAATTGATTGAAACGAAAAGCAAACCATTTTTCTCATCGTTGTAAGACATTAACATAGACCATTCTTCAAAGATTATTCACTGTTTACTACCATCTTTTTGTACAATGATTTATAGAATACTGTCAGAATAATTGCAACTCTTAGGTTTCAGTTCCTGCGCAAATTTGTCATAATGGATAAAGTGACAGTTCATCCGGCCCGCTAGACGGAACTGAATCTCACCAACTTTACACGATACATTTGTGTACTGCTAATGGTTGTACCTGACTTCTTATTTTATTTGTGAGTAAAGGCATTACGGTTCCTTTGGCTTAAATTTCACTTTTCAAGAAGGTGGTCAATTAGTTTAATTTGTGAGTTATTAGCATGTTAGACAATCATGTGATCTATCATAGTTACTTGACACAAAATCCCTCTTTTTACTTTTTTATATTTTGTAACTTGAAATTGAAGCCATATTCAAACGAATCGAAACACTCAGATAACAAGCAAATGCAAAAATCATGATAAAAATCAAGAAAGCCTATGAAAAGCATGACTAATCATCTGTTGAATGTGATATCATAATCTCAATCGTTTGTCAAGCCTTACGCAGTAACACCAAAGTTTCCCACGAAAGAGTCTTTACTCCAGGGAGCGAGCGTGACCAATATAGATAGATAGTAAATTTTCAGCGGTAATTATCCGGTTGATATTTGGATAGATCAACACGAGCATGCTTGATATTCTCGCTTTGATACATGACAAGGATCATCAGTTATTCTGTAGTATTTTGAGCCAAGTCTGGTTTTAATATAAAGGAGTTTCTTCAGATTTAGTACTAATTGACACTTTTGGTGTACAATAATATCTCAATTCACTGACAGTCAATGACAAGACGTTATTTACACAACATTTATAAATAATGATTACGTATTTTACAACTTCCTAGTTACTAGTTTGCTATTATAACCTGTAGTTGTAGCTGGGGTGAATGTTTATATAGCTTTCTAGGGGATTACTGCTTCTTCGTCTTAATCACAAAACTCAAAAAGGGGTTTCATGTCTTCAGGCGTTTCTCTAGTGTATTTTATCTCAATTACTTGTAAACATTACGAATTAGTTCTGTACAAGTCTTTGTCGGCTGGCTAGCTTCAGTTGGAGATCTACTTGTTTAGTGATCAGTTTCAGGCGTGGTCGTTTTCTTCAATCCAGCCGACAAGTGTAAATTGTTCTTGTTTCTGTTCACCTGTCTTCTCGTTTGTATCCAGAGTATGTGATATTAGAGTAGTCTAGAGGGGACTCGTTTGAATTAATGAAGACATTAAGTCTGTGAATTTAGTAAACATTGGTATTTAGTACTAGTGAAAGCTAAGCTGTCATAAACACGTGAAACACAATCTACTTTATTATTTTTTTTACTTATTACGTTTTTCTTTGTTTTTTTTTTTTTTTTCGGTGCGTCACGTTAAATTGCACTTTGACTATTAAACCCGCTATTGAACATTGTTTCATGGGTTATTGGCACTTTAATATCTAATAATATCTGATATTCATTTCACGTGAGTTTTATAATTAATTGTATTTGTTTGTACCCTATCGATATGAAAAGCCACGGTTCTTCAATGGATTTCACTGGTACGATGTAAATGAGTTGTAGATCTTTACCACACGTTGGTCAATGAGCATTTTCTCATCATGCAGCATAGATTTTCATTTGAAGCATTTCTTTCATAAACGACAAAAGTCTTGGCTGCACGTTGGTCTACACTGATTCAAAATGAGCAATGGGTCGTTTTCTCATCACCGCCCAGCAAGCACACTCATCATTCAGAGCATAGTTAATATTAACTATGTTCAGAGCAAGTGTGTTAATTACTCAATAAGAAGTTACCGCCACACCAAACACTAAATGACTGAAATTTACTATTTGTCAAGCTACGATGGGTACATGATTTCTGGTTCACGCTAAGACATTTATACGACACATATTCGCAGGGTTATTTTCAGATTTTTAAGTTGTCTTAGGCGTTATTCTGCTATTCTCGTCACTTATTTGTATAAACCACTGATTAAGGATCGATGACTAGTCAAAACGTCTGCATTGAAAAGATCAGAGATATTCATAAACAACGGTCGTATCTCACTCTAACCCTGACTACAATAGATCGGTCATCAAAAATAAATCGTCAAGTGATTTTAACATGCATCTTGCTTTAATGTTGGCTATTCAACTTTCACCGAAGTCTGTATTAAATTCAATTTATTTATATCACTAGTTGTTTTTATCAGTTTTTTATCAGTTAAGTTCACCACTTTGATATAAAATATTCATGTTAGTTAAACGACTTTATTCAGCTGCACCGAGCAAAAGGCAGCCGAAAACTTCCTCCTTTTGTCTGTATTACTGTTACTTTTTTGTGTTAAAATTTAATTGGAACCGGTAGAAAATAGTCGGGGGGTAATAGAAAACATTTTTTTGCACATTGTCGAGTCCAGTTATTCATCTTTAATCGAAACAATTTATGATCGTGATAGCGCGTGAATAGATTGCCTAAGGTTAGAATCCATGCTGTATTTATATAATATATATTATAGGTATTATTATAGTGTATACTGTATTTATATATATATTATACGTATTATTACAATGTAATTCAGTTTATATCCAAGATCGGCGCTGAATAATTCTTGATCAAAAGCTTGATTTCCAAACGAGGCTAGTTGATAAGTACTGTCGTTATATAATAGTTCACCGTGTCTGTGATGCGCATTCTCACGTAATGCCGCTGCGGAAGGGTTGGTAGCTCTTATTAAAGTCTATTAATCATAAAACTAAATTCTCAAAAATATCATGTCTACATTTACTTGTTGATAAATACCCTGTTTTTAATGTGTACTTTTCTCGTAATCTGCGATCTTATCAAACGAATAACTGAATAAGAAAACAAAAAATGAGACGAAATGAGGGAATTAGAGGCATTCTTAGATAATAGATCAAAAACATACATTAGAAAGCAAAGCAAGATTATCGTCAGATGATAAGCAGTGTCCAATTGTTTAAATACTGGCCCTTGCCGGCTGGCGCGTGTTTTTTCAAATATTCACTTCTAATTATTGCACACAATATAACAATTCTTGCGCTTTTCAGGGACAATTTTCCTCCTTTTCAAAGCTTAGTTTAGCTTATGAAGCATGTGATCTATTAACACATCGTGTTGGTCGCAGAGAAGCTCTTAACGGCCACGTGGATTCGTCGTGAAAAAACTATTCCTCCTTATATTTGTATCTGAGGTCAAAGAAATAAAGAACAGGACAAAATGACATTAATAAACGATCTCGTGGATGCCCAGAAAACAAGAAATGTAAAATGGGCTAACAAGATTTGGTACATAATCTATTTGTTATAATGAATTCTTGTACAAAATGGTAAATGACAGCGATAATATAAAATATATAAGAACTAGACAACACGAGAATCTGCATCCCAATTGCTTATTTCATTAAAACGAAAACCAATCAAGAATTCCTTCCAGCTCTGACTGCGAGATAATTAAAAGACAGAAACAAAAAAATACTGATCATTCGCCCATCAGTGAAGTTGTTTGATTCACGGACCAAGTGAATGTTTTCTTTTGTTTCTTCAGCGACACGGATGTAAACGTTGTTTTGATCACTGACTACACTCTACAACCACATATTTTAGTCTTCAAATGACGGTCACCATAGTAACGACAAGCAACCGGACAGGACTGATAGAAATCATAGTTTCCTGACTCAAGGTTGACATGTACTTCTTTGAGTATAGTGTGTTTTGTTTTGGACTCGCATCGAAGTGATCTTTTAAGCATACATTACGGAAGATAACACGATCAATAAGGATTGGTCAAAAATTGCATCAAGGACTCCCCTACTGAACTCATTTCTTTCAACACTTGAAAATTACACAAAACGTTTTTGACTAGTGCTTTGATTGCAATCCGGCCTGCTGAGCACTTTTCCTATAAATTAAGAATTTCGTCAGTAGCAACATCGCCACACACTCTATCAAACAATAACATGTTGGGTATGTTTCCTGAATGAATTTGTATGTTTACAAAATTTCGATTATTCACTTTGAAGCAAATGGTTTAATACATTTCTTTTCGTGATGGTGACCAAGGTACAGTATATCAATATATAAAAAGCTATTCACTTGTTATACTACCTACACTCCCTTGTTTCCCGCCGTCAGCCTGCAGCAAAACAGACTTAATATGCAACGTGGATTAGTAAATCCCCTTTCAAACCTAGTTAAACGTCATACTGACGTCACGGCTTTTAAGAGACCTGATTGGTCAAGGATATCATATACGATAGTCCAATAGCAAGTGAGTTGTTGATTTGAAATCATCATTAGTTTATCATAAAGCACGCGTAGGTTGGGAGTGAATATTATTAAGCGTTGGACTAGATCAGGTTCACAGTTGGCCAAGACATCACCAAGATTGCATCTGGGACTTCTTCCCTCCCAGAACACCAAGCAAGACTAAGGAAAAACTGTAAACACTTTCAGCTTTTGAAGGATTAAGGTCCTTAGGCAGTGATAATTCTTTTTCTTTTCCGTCAAGTCGTTTTATTTAAAGTCAGCGATGATGTTGAACGAGTCAATGTTGAATGGCTCGCATGGAGGTACACGGCCACAATACACGAATCCTGCAATGGACGTTTCGTTAATTGTATTAAGTGTTCTGATTCTAGTGATAAACGGCATCGTCATCTACTTGTTCTTTTCCCGGGAATATCTACAAACTAAAACAAACAGTCTGTTGGTGAGTCTCTCTGTTAGTGATCTTACAGTTGGATTACTTGGTATTCCTTTGTACATAGCATGTAACTGGACAAGGGTTGACCAAATCTGTTTCGCGTCTGCTGCAACCTATCGCCTGCAGGCTGTTTCTGAGATGGCGCACATCTTTATGACAACTCTTGAACGATACATTTACGTGATGTACCCGATGAAGTATATCCGGATTGTAACAGCCCCTCGTATTCTGAATCTCATGGGTTGTGTGTGGTGTTTCTCTCTCTTCATTACATTCATTCAAGTCGCCTGGAATGACCCAAACGACTTCTTTTACAATTTGAATGCGAATCCTACCCGAAGGTTATGCTCGATTGTCTACAACTGCTTCACCATTGTAGTTTGTTTCCTTATTCCCCTTATCATCATGATCATTAGTTACTCAAGGATGTTCGATGTCATTCACCGGCAGATCAAAGAAATCCATCAGCAGAATTACCCCAGGGGGGCTGCTGGATCTTCCCAGCGTACCCCAGTCGCCACAGAAGCAAGAGCAGTGTCTATCTTTGCCCTGATGTTATCAGTCTTTACCTTAGCCTGGTCGTCTTGGTATATCATCGGTATTGGAGTTTATTTTAAGCAGTTCTATTCTGCCCTCCCCCTTCCTCTCATGGAATTTTTACACTTCTTTCGCTTCGCTGTTGCATATATAAACCCAATTTTATACACCTTTCTAAAGAGAGACTTCTCGCGCGCGTTGAAATCGCTCGTGAACCGTGAGGGACTGAGACGGGATTTTGTTACAGCTACTCATATGCGATCGCGAGGATTTGCGTCGAATTCACTGCAAACACGAATGTCTAATTCATACGGGGATGACACCCCTATCAACATGAATGGACATACTGCCTAAAGCTGGTTTTGAATATGGAATGAAGTACCCCATGGCAGGACTACTGATAAGCGATTGTGGACACCAAGGCAATGCCAACCATGAATAAACAAGTAAATAACACTTGACTAAAACGAACTTGTATCCTTGGGATATTAACAAACGAGACGCTGGAATATATGGCACTAATTCTATTTAGTGAAAAAGAAATGTTAACAAAACGACAAAAATAAACACAGATGACAATTCGTATCAGTAACAGCAACAATGTGGTATTGAATCATGGAATAATTTTCCCTTCTGTATTTGTGTAAACAATGTAGTTGGATACGTAAGCACAGCTGAATTTACCAACACTCCGTAAAACTGTCATTACAAAAATGATCTCAATTATCAAAGTCGACAAAGACCTGCCTGGCTGAGATTTAAACATCTTATTCTAGGAATAAAACAATCCCTTCAAAAACATGAAATATAGTCATTGTAAAGAGTGACATTTTAATGCGTAATTTATAAGACACTCGTTTCTTTTTGTATCATAAAGTCTTGTGGTCATGTCTAAAGTGGTTTCACCCGAAGGGGTTTAGCAAAGCCCATCAGACAGACCAAAGAGTGTACGTTAAAGATATAGACTTTTAATCAACAAGTCAGAAAATACCATTATTATGCATAAGGATGGCTTTTGGCATAAATAAAATGTTTATTTTGTAAAACTATCACAACAATCAAGCATCGGGCGTGGCCTAAGTCCGATGACTATATTGATTCCTCTGAAATGATGGAAGTAATTGTTATCAAAATTGATATCTTTTTGTTTTTTGAAGTGTTTGTGTGGTTAAATTGGCTTTCGTTTTCAAATGGTAATAAGAAAATGACAAAAGCAAATATAAACATATATTGGATGTGTTCTGAAGGCGTTGATTTGCCTCAAGTCAACTTATCTCAGCGATGAATAGATACTACAGCATCTTGTCGTTTCACCTTGACAGACTACAGTCGCCAATACCATTTACTTCCTACTATTAATGGAACTGACTGTTATTCAACGTTTAGTTTAATCCTAGAATTCAACTAGATAAAACACTGTAAATAAAATTAACTTATAGATCAGCACATGACAGTAGTTTTAAATATCTGAAGAGAATGAATTATAAATAAATAAAATCAACGATTTTTGTCATGACTATCTTTATGCGTTTCCTCTGCAACTGAGATTCGCGTACTGACTCGTTATTTTCATGCTTTGTAATAAAACACGCATAATTTAGCCCATCTATTTTTGCTCGAATTTCACCTTAAAAGATTATGTTAAAGAACAGAGGTTCCAGTCATTTTAGCGTTGCATCAAAAGTGCGGTTTTCTAAAGAGGTATGACTGGAGATACGCCAATAATCGCGGCTTCAAGTGAAAACCTGTTTTGAAAGGCCGTTTTGCATCCTTCAAATGGAGAGGGTATCGTCCGCTTATTTTACACAAAGCTTGCGGCTTGAGATGGGAGGTTTGCTAAGCTTTTTCGTTAAAGACCGGAAAATCAAAATTTCAAGATTTTATGGAACTATTAAAGGGGGTTCTCAGTTTCACTTGCTGTAGTTGTGATGGCGATGCTTGTTAATAGATATTAATGATGCTTGACTCTAAATCAAAAACTCTACATGATGGGTGATACTGGACAAAAAGGAAAGCAAGTATCAATTGTTCTCTCGTAATCATTACTGATTTCTCTCTTGTATTGTCGATTTATTAACTGCAACAAAGTCAGTCTAGTTTGCCTATTTTCATATCATTGATTAAATGATTTTTGACAAAAGAACCTTTGGAAGCTCTAATAAAGTTAGTATTACCACGTACTGATGGGCTTTATTTCATTTCACTGCCTTCCTGCATGCCAACAACTTGCTGACACGATTTGAATGGGTAAGACCTAACAATACTCCAATTTCGAGTTCAGGTTTGCTCTGTGTTAGCCTCAAAACCAAGCGATGAGAAAACGCATGGCATTTGAGAAGAAAGACTATAGAATTTGAAATCTCTCACTTCTATTCTCACAATTAGGAATATTTTGTGCACAAAAGAGGCTAACACAGAGCATTGGAGAATTCGGAACTGGATTGTTCGATAGAAAAAATGTAAGCAATTCTAACCGTCTAACGTGACAAAATAAAGTAAAAAATATAATAACTATCTGTATTTTATTATTAAAATATTACAACTGTAAATACTGAAATACTATGTTAAAATTCTCGTCTAAAATAACAAGGATTTCTACTCCAAATGGAACATCACACAAAGAGGCACAATTTTTTTCAATTTTGAATTGAAGCCATTCCCAATGAAGTATGTCATTGTAAGTGTATTCAGCTTGTTTTGGTTGAAGTCTTTGAAACAGCTTGGTACACAGCTAGTTTGGATGATATAGCCTTACTCTTATTATTCATATATCAAAATATTCAATTTTCTGTCGAAATTACTAATAAATTTTCACTCGTTTTTCTTTTGCTGCAACAGGAGTTGTTTTATCGCGGACCATTTGCGTTGCGAGACTCATGCTTGAAATTATGCCATTTCTAAAATAGTTATTCGCCGTCATTACATCCTTCCCAGAAAACTAGCTAACCTCAGTATACTCTATCTTAAGAGTAGTTACTAACTGTGCTTTTAGAGAGAAAGTTAAAACTATTTCAAATACCATGCAAACTGAACTCCAGCAGTGTCTGATGTATTTAAAATTTTAAAATCAAACTATCAGATGTATTTTGAAAACATCACGAGATGTTTTTTATATAAAAATAGTGGTATAATAGCACATCATGTAAATATTATTTACTGCAGGAAGTGTTCTTGTCATGGTAGTTTTGTAATCTAGTTCACTTGTAATAAAAACTTAATAAATTTGCACAAAACATTGGATTACTGTTTTGCAAAGGAAATCAACAATACTTCGTGAGCTAACTAAAAAGATTGTGTTTTTGCAGATGTTCGCGCTGCGAGATCGTGTTGTTTGTACCAATTTTTGTCGATTCTTTTGTTCTTCATAGTAATTTATCGAGATAAAGCTGCATTTAAATACTGAATTTCAAAACAAATTCATTCTCTGCACATGACTTAAATCCGCGGAAACAGTATTCCGCTAAATATAGACATAACTTTTAAAAGGAAAAGGTTTTGCAATTATCCTGATGAATTTGAAGAGTGAGGAAAATTGCTAGAAGTACTAGAAAGGTAGTTCAAATAAAAGTTTGATTAAAAATAGTGATAAGAGCATTTTAATTAGAGTACAGATAAGTAAAGGAAGCTTAAACATAATATATAGAAATGAGGTGAAAGAAACTAAAAAGATTTCTATTGCTTTCTAAATTGAATCAGACAAAACCGCATCCGAGAAACGATCGACAAAATAAACTGAAAATTGTGAGAAAAATTCCTACAAGAGATGTTGGGTTCTTATAAAGAATCAGCCGAGTTTGCCTCTCTATAATCTGTCCTTGTCACTAAGACTGTAGACACAATTTAAAACGTTTCTTTGTTTTAAGGACATTTTGACTTCTCACGAGAATTCCTGCAGAATCGGGCGCCATATTGGCTCGACTGCCCTTTTTATTATACAAAGTCTTTCCTATGTTGTTGTTTGATAAAAAGCGATTTGATATGGCATCCCGGTATATCGTGTCGTGTAGCCCTAAATTGTATGAATTACTGTGGGCGGATATAGTCCATGGTAATCGAGGGTTTTATGATGTTATATCTTTTTAATTCCTGAGTTATATTGAAAAACTGACTGTTTCTGTCTGAAATGGTGCCGGTTGACGACCGCCCGCGTACCTTTAGTTTCGCGGATATCATCAAAATCACCATCGCTGTAGTAAAAGCACAATATTTATGGTAAATAAGATATTCAATATTGAGATAGTGACTATTGGCAAGTGAATTAGATTTCGTTTGGATAGGATTTGTAATATTATTCCTCTTCCTGTCTCAATTTCTCTTTCCAGTTTTTTGCGTTAATTGAACGAGAATAATTTGAAGACTGTTTTTACATTTGTAGGCACTAAATAAGAAATTAGGCGAAGAGAAAACAATTAAAAAGTGATGAACTCTCTAATCAAATGCTTTGAATTAATTGATAGGTAGTTGATCCTATGTTTCATTTTGTCGGTACGTCGTTTGACTATTTCATTCCACAAAACACTAATGTATTTCTGATAATCTATAGCATAAAACTAAGCTTTATCCTTGCGGCTTATCTTTGTCATTCAATACTGATATCGAAAAAAGAAATTGGTTCTGTTAAACAACTATTTTATTTAAACTTATCAAAGTGTTTGTAAAGTGTGGGGTGTGATAAGTCAATTCCCGCCATTTTACATGACTGCGCACGCGTCACAGATCACATAATGAGGTGGCGTTAGCTTTCTCTTTATAGCGAGAAAAATGTCAGTTACATATTTTATTATTAAACGTTTTTCGTTAATCGGACGACTTGTAATTGCTATGTCATAATGTGAGGGTTAATTTGTATGTATTTTGAATTGCATCATTTCTCAACTCGAAACCACTACGTCTAGAAATAGTGAGTCGTTCAAAATGCTGCGATACATTTTACACTTGATCATTGAAAAGTTTACTTGACGTCGTAGCGATCGCAGTGGTTTACAATTTCTTACCTTTTATGACCTCACTACTAGAAAATGACCGGAAATGTTCGTTTTTACTAAGGCCTAAAGCTTACACACACAAAAATAAACAAATATTTAATGGCAGCTTTGGAGTATATGTTTGTAGGTAGTTCCTCTATCCATCATAGAATTCAAGTGACTGAAAACTCGTTATGCTTTTCACAAGACACTCAGCAAAGACATTAAGCAGTAACTTTACTTACTTAATAAATAAACTCGAGAGGAAAAAAGGCCCGATGATTTTTGACGAGTGTTTATATAAGAAAAGCAGGCCCCAATGGAAACATTAGGGTTCTGAATGCGGAAATTGATTGGCTTTTTGATTTGTAAAGACGATGGCGACAATAGTCTAACTAATAGTAAATCATTACGTCTTGAGGTGATAATATCGACATCGGGTTGCTGCATTAATCTCTGGACTTATTCGCCGGTATTGTGCAGAATAACTTACAAAGTCGTTTGTTTATCATGAAAATTCAACCATCTTTTGTCTAATGTTTTGTCGTGTTGTCCATGCTTGTTGTATGGTGAAAATCAGAAACCGAAAGACAATACACTGCTTGCCTGTAATATTGAGTTGTCTGTAACAGACTGAATGAGGTGTCCGTAATATTGAGGTGTCTTTTCTATAAAAATGTCTGTAGTAAAGAGGCCGCGGTGTCCGTAATATTGAAGTGTCTTTACTTTAGAGACGTCTGTAATAAAGAGGCGTGGTGTCCGTAATATTGAGGTGTCTTTACTTTAGAGACGTCTGTAATAAAGAGGCGCGGTGTCCGTAATATTGAGGTGTCTTTTCTATAAATATGTTTGTAATAAAGAGGCCGCCCGGGTGTCCGTAATATTGAGGTGTCTTTACTTTAGAGACGTCTGTAATAAAGAGGCGTGGTGTCCGTAATATTGAGGTGTCTTTACTTTAGAGACGTCTGTAATAAAGAGGCGTTGTGTCCATAATATTGAGGTCACGGTATATTGTCCGAAATGAAAACAGTAGACCAGTCATTCTAGCAGACAGTATGTGGATCAGTCATCATGGCTCCAGTGTTTAGATGTGTTTGTTTTTTGCTTTTAGTACCTTATCGTCTGGATTGAATTCGTTGGCTGCTGTAGTTTTAGAAGACATCATTAAACCAATCAACAAAAGACGGTCAGTAGTATTGTCAGAAACCAAGGCAACACTGATCACCAAAATCTTAGGTATGTTACTCCATCTAACTAACATTGAATCGTCATCATCATAAACAACGTACTTTATGTTATAGCTCTAAGTTTTGGAGTACTAACGATTGGGCTTTCATTCCTGGCAATGAAACTTGGTGCCATACTAACAGTAAGTAAGCTCCCGTCGTATTATTCCACATGCAAAGAGCTCAACTTTGTTTGTTTTTGATATACAGACGTTTTACCGTGTCTTTGGAGTGGTTGGGGGCCCTGTGGTGGGTGTATTTTGTCTTGGTATGCTCACTAGAAAAGCTAATACAAGGGTAACTATTAATCTTTGTCATTTGCTTGTTTTTGTTGTCGTCCTTAGTGTACAAACTTTTTAAAACATATTCATTTATAAATCATATCACACCTACATCGTTTATAAAAAACATTATGAAATCAGAAATGAAATTGCATTTCTGCACCTATAATCCCAATTATATTTCCATCCCCAGGGTGCTTATGCAGGACTATTAGGTGGTCTTATAATTGGTCTGTGGATAGGTGTTGGTGCTCAAATATACCGTCCACCTCTCTCTATCGCCCAACTATCTACCGCTGGATGTGTTCAAGGGCTCAACACAACATTTACGTCAAATTCTACGTTTAATCCCAGTATGAATGGAACAGCTGCAACTCCTAAAAGGTCAGAATGCAGTAATAATGTTTTTTTTTTTTAAATGCGTTCTCTTAGCGGTATATTGTTTTTTTAGCTACGATGGTCTGGCTCTATACAAGTTATCTTTCCTGTGGTACAGTGCGGTTTGTTTCCTGGTTACCTTCATCGTTGGTATTGTTGTTAGTACCATATTTCCAGGTAAGAAACGTCATTGAGTTGGTTTTGTAACTGCTAGGATCCCTCTTTAGTCAACCACTAACTAATATGGTCTATCATTTTCATACTTGATCTAGAATTCATTAGATTTTCGTTATTTTCAAGGTGATCATGACAGTGCATCAGTCGATCCACGACTATTATTCCATTTTAAGAGATGTTGTAGAAGAACTAAAGGCGAGCATGATCTCGCATCATGTCAGCAGGTACTATTTCCTTCTCAATATAACAAAATAGATCGAAATGTCATGCGGTGGAGTTAAAGACGCTTCTTTTCATTTAGGACCGCGAAGAGGTTTTTCCTACTCAATTGAATGGTCCATACAGAGAGGTGAAATCTACCACAGGCCTAATCAAAGAATCGTCCATGTAAACGATCCAAGTTGGAATTCAGTGCACCGTGAGAAGTCCAAGCAACAGGAGCCATGATCTCGGTTAACGCTCGGAAATAAGTTATGTTTATGTGTAAAACGACAAAAATATAATTTTTCATAAGTAATACTGTGCCTTTTGTACCTTTGAAACATAGTTGATAGTATTTTATATAGGTTTTATTAAATGGGATAAGCTTGTCATGTAAAAATAAAAATTGAAAAAAAGTTACGACATTTACTCGATATCAGCAAAATGGATAAGTATAGTGATAAAAATAATCACCGTCAAAATATGCAAAAGTTACCAAAATTTAGGAAAACCATACTAGTCTGTACTTGTCATATAGAAAATTTCACTTCAGTAGTGTAGTGAAGGAAAAGTCGAAACTTTAATTTCTCATTGTTTTTACTAGTCATGTTGGATTGACTTACCGTCGTCTATGAAATGACTATTTCGGTAAAATCTAACAACAAACAGCTGAAAACAATCTAAAGCCGTCTACTACTAACTATTTATCTTTGGGTCCAGACAACGGAAATCTTTATTTATATCATTTATAGAGTTTTTATGTTTTAAGTAAAGTAATTAAAATACAGAGATAAATAAAGTGCCAATTTTAATAATACTGACTCTATTTACATTTATACTCATTGTCAATAGCTGTTGAAATATTTTCAACACTTTTGCATGTACACCATTATGAAGTATCCTCGGTTTTCTCGGTAACCGTGGAGGGTTGGGGCGATTGTCTTGGAGACCCCGATGCAGGACGGGATTTTGGTGTAGTTGGCCGTGATGAGGACCGTGATTTAGGGGAACTAGTGCGGGAGGATTTTGGTGTGGGTGTTTTTGACCCTGTTTTTTTGGCTGAGGTGGGTCGAGAGGTTGGTGCTGATGGTGGTTTATCAGGGATAGCTTCATTTGTAGGCGGTGCGGTAGGTTCGGGTGTTGGATCTTTTGGTGGATCAGGCTGAGGATGTTCTTCCATGATGGATTCTGCCTCGCCATGGATGATTTTATGTGCTGCCAATAGATGCTTTCTCTGGTTTCTTTTAACTGATAGAAAGAAAGAAAGTTTTCTTCATAATGTATCACTTTTATATTCCATCCTGTATTTCATCTCAGACCAGTTATAGGTTCTATGTGACATTTACCTTTTTCCCTTACAGTAATTTTTTGAACCTCGGGCAGCAGGAACGATGTAACAAGCTCAGCTACAATTTCCTCAGACTGTAATCTAGTGCGCCTGGAACAAAAAAGTCACGAGTTATGAGTCTATCTGATACGTCGTGTAATGAACGTCTCGGTGATTCAAATACGTACGTTTTCTCGACATCATGAGCGATCTTGTTGATTTTCTCCGCTTGATCCTGAATTTCTTTACGCGCCTGAAAATGAATGATTTTTTTGAACAAACTATTTTGCAGAAAAAGATGTGGCCTTCTCAGTTTTGGCAAAGCAATGTTGTTAATTTATTACCTGTTCATGTGCTGTGTTATCGATGGCCCCTAAGATAATGTCCTCTAGGTAAGTATCAACAGTATTCTGATGGACTTGGACGACCTGGATATAAAAATCAGAAAATTGGCAAAAGCCAAGGGAGGAGAGGAGGGGGACACTTATGGCTTCTCGTCAGCGCGTTGGCGATTTCTGAATTTTTCCGCCAACCATTAAAACAACCCGTCAACCTTCAATGGGGAAACTATATGAAAGTAATGCCTCTGATAGTGAAGGCTAGTGCAGCGCGCAATTCACTCGGTATTCCTTAATGGTAAAGACTCGTCTTGTTCTAGAATAAAGATAATTGATTGATTGGACCAGAATACCCAGAATGTATTGCGAGCATTCCATATCGAACATTCCAGAATGGCGCTCTAAGTATGCCATGTAAGTGTTTTTAGTATTACTTTATCTTAGTGTCGAACCTGTTTGAATATTTCATCCTCTTCGCGTCGTCTTCTTTCCTCGACCTGTCTTCGTCCACTTTCCTCAGCTTCTCTTATTCGTCGTTGTCGTTCAGCTAACATGGCGAATGCATGGATTCGACGTTCTTCTTGTAGCCGCACTAATTCCTATTATATCATATCAACAAGTGAATAAACACTAAGAACCAATGAATGAAAGAAAAAATATAAATTGTTTTTCACCTACTTTTTGACTAGTTAATTTTACGTTCAAAAACAGACACACAAAATATGAATTAAAAAATAATGATGTAAAAAAAATAAGGGAAAAAAAAGAAAAATCCTAACCCTAAAATGACAATAACACGGTAATTCAGTATAATCATTATTGTCAGTGGCCTTAATAAACAGTATTATTATTTGAAATACAAAATGGAACAACAGTCAGCGTCATAAGGGCGTGCCTGCATAAAACGTGATATATTTTTGCCATATTTGACACGCCTTTCTTGAAATACCGTCATTATTTTTTAAAAGAATCTTGTAGCTGTTAGGGAGTTTGCTTCTTACTAGGTTAATAGCAAAGTGTGATAAAAACCAAATACTGTAACAACAATAATCGATTGTTAACGATAATCTACCTTGCTAAGAAAATCAAACATGTCTGCCAACGTAGCGCCTTCCATTTGTGCCATGGCTTCTTCTACAAACGATTCCTTATGTTGATCTAAACGTCTTTGTCTTTGCAGTGAAAGTACTGCTTGTCGTTCGTTTCTTTTCTCAGTTTGGCCGCTTTCCTGCAGAGCATGCGTACTACGCAGCTCTTGAATCAACTCAAGTCTTTTCTCTTTGCCTTCAAACATCTAAAAAATCAAAGAAAGGACGAGATTTACATTGGACTAACATGATTTGAAATATTATCACATTGATTTAGCTGTTGTAAGTGTTTTTAGACAGAAATTATCTGATGTTAATATTGATTGTTTGTAGGGTTCCTACCATATTCTGAATGGCTCTTCCGCGGATAATCTTCTGTAAGTAGATAATAGCCAACTCTGCGTCCTCTTCAGCCTGAAACAGATATTAAATTATTGATTTATCGCTTATACAGCATGGATCCAGGGGCGGGTCCAGGATTCTCTGCAGTGAGTGGTGCACAACATTCAGTATGGCCGGGCGTACTCCACATAACGAGACATAAAATAATGCACAACATTCAGTATGGCCGGGCGTACTCCACATAACGAGACATAAAATAAGTGTTATTAATATGCTTGTGAGTCTCGTAATATGACTTCATTTTGTGTTTGTAACAATGTTTTGGTATGCTTGCTTCATGGTGAAAACCAGGGACCGGTCATGAGCTGCATTATATTCGCTGTGAAAGGATTTATCCTGTTGATAGCGATGTTCCAATCAGACCGTCATCAAAAACAACAAATAGAAAGGTTAACACTGTACACTCCCTGTTTGGGGGTTGGTTTGGCTATCACAAGTTACAAATTCTCGGAAAAAGAAACATACTCGTATATTTCCAGTTCTACTAGAGAATGATCTCACCTGTGATGGCACAGGTACAGAAGGTGTGGGTGGTCGAGGGATAGGTTTTTCGACCTTCACTAGAAATTTCAAAGGTTTTTCTTTCTCTGGGGGTCTTTTTCCTTTCTCGATAATATCAGCTACTTGTTCAAGTTCTCTTTGTCTGCGTTGAGTTCGTTTTACAAATCCTCCCTTTGCACTCGACTTAGATTTAGGAGCCTGAACACGTGGTTGGGTCACAAAGTCTGGTAGCGATGCCTCTAGTTCAAGTAGCCCTTGATATGTAGAAAGATGAAAGCTCTGTACATTGTACTGCTCAGAACCACGATCAAGGAATACTCCAACTCTTGACATAGGTGCATAAGTCTGGGACTCGTGTGTGCTGTAGTCTTTGACGATATCTCGTCGCTCTAGTTTTCCTTCGACATTTTTACGCTTTTCTTTCAGTTTTCGCATCGCTAAAGAAAAATAATGAATTGTCATCAGAAAGTTAATTTTTTTTTCTAGTAACAGGTGAAAATTGTCAAAAGTTTGTTATTTGTCAGTAGGAATGAATAAAATAGAGTAAAATTCGTATTTTTTTTTTCCAAAAAAGTCGTAGAATTGAAGACAATAATTTCCGTCATTTTTAAGCGTATATGAAATGGAGAAACATTTCTCATTTTTACAGTGAAACAAAATAGTAATGATATCAAAGGAAAAGAACAAAGAAGCCGCACTTCCTCGTCTCCTGCATCGGAGTCCGTCCGTTTTAATTAAGTTGTAGACAAAACCAGCGAACAGTCATCGGTATTTGTACCTAATATGTAACTATACCTTTTATGTGCTCTTTTTGGATTTTAGAAAACTTGGTTTCCTTTTCTTGCTGCTTCTTAGACCTTTTAATGAAGAAGTTACATGTAAGGGGTTTGTTTACATGAGATAGGGTATCCCTAGATATTATAGGGTCCCTTTTTATCACCTAGAAACAGCCATCAATATGAATGAATAGAAACTACAAGATGTGATTTTATTAAGGCTTGATTTTTCTTATTTTTGTCACAGAGTAATCGCATTGTACTGAAAAATACTATAAACAAAGTAAATAGTAATTGTTGGTCTGTATTTACTGATTAAGACCGATTAAGTCACAGAACTAGAACAGCATTATGAAACAATAGACAGTGTTCTGACTATATACAGTGTTAGACTAATAAAAACTAACTCTTTTGATTTTATTTTACTGTTCAAGTGCATTTACTCTAACTGATCAATGCTGAATTATTTGTAACACAATGATCTTATCCTTAGTTTAATCTACACACTCACCATAATTTATCCAGGCGTCGAGCATTGATTTGTGCATGGTCTTCCTCTCGTTGCTGTAGAATGTTTTGAAGAACTTGAAGTCTTGCTTCCTGAAGTCTGAATAGGTTCATTGAATTAGAGTAAAAATATCTTAATCAATATGAGGAAATCTTTTGAGTGTTTAGGCACTTGTGAAATTGGACTAATGACAAATATTGTAAGTTAATACACATTCATTTCAATGAAATAAAATTACTTTAAATGTTTCTTTTGGAATTCTTGACATGCAATTTCAATTCAAACTTCCAAATAAATTGCAAATCAAACATTGTTAATGGTGATAAATTGAAAATATCACGAAAAACTATATTGTTGACTAAATGTGTCTTCAATCTGATAACTTTTTAGCTTTATATCACTTAAGATTGCTTGCATTGTCATATGCATGACTCAAAGGAATTTATAACTGAAAAAAAATCTAGTGCAATAATATTGATAATTTCAATGAGAAATTCCTGGGACCTACTTTTCAATTTCTTGTTCTCTGAATAGCCATTCTTTTCTTTCTTGTTCATCCATCATTTTCCTTCGTTTTTCAAGATTGTCAACATCATTTAAGCTGGGTAAGGTAGATTCCCTAAAACAGAATGGTCAGTAAGAATTGTATTCAATATCAATCATGAAATATTCCAATTATTTACCATATCCTTTTAGCTCTTGCTCTTTCTATCATTTCCACCTCAGCCAAACCTGCTGGTAGTCCATGTCCTGAAAACCAATATACAATCAACAAATAATAATTAAATCTGTTCATTTCCTCACCATTTTTAAGGGGGGTATGGATGGGAATATGCTATTGTTTTGTGATGGGATTTGAGGGAGGGGGACAATACTTTATATATCAAAAATATATATTTTGATAATATTTCAAACAAAAACCATGATTATCAAAACAAATAATCTAATAATAAATTGATAAAGTCTACCATAATTAAAAATAATTCTATATTTTTATGCTTGTTAAGCTTCCATACCATATGATAAAGTAGCAAGAGTGAGTAGTTCAGGTTGAGATCCTGGTCTGACAACATAATCAGGTGTATATGGATCAGTCTGTGCTTCACTGTCTCTGTAGTCAGTTTGTACCATTACAGTTTTAGTTGCTGGTGTTGGTGGTCGTTCCTGGTCTAATTCCTGGGTTTTGAGGGGGTCAACTCTGCCATTAAAACAAGAGTGCAACAGGTAAATTAACTTTAATAAACTATCAGCTTTAGTGTGCTACCCAGCCATTTATCAGTGACAAACTATGCATCTCACCAAAGTAAAAACATAGTGTGACATATTGATAATGGATATGTTTATTTCATCCTTCTTTGATCTTTCAGTGCACATACACAATGGTATAACAGTGAGTTTAGTATGTTATATTTAGATAGTCTTAGTTTACCTTGATGTCTGTAAAAGTACATCTGGTGGATGTTATATTTTATAGTCTTAGTTTACCTTGATGTCTGTAAAAGTACATCTGGTGGATGTTATATTTTATAGTCTTAGTTTACCTTGATGTCTGTAAAAGTACATCTGGTGGAACTTGTTGCAAGAACGGGATAATTGGCCGTTTGAAGAATTTATATCTATCTTGTCCACCTACATCTGTGTGAGGATAATATTTTTGAGGAACTTGTACTGTTGGGTCATAGTTGAACCTGTTGGCAATACACAGAAAGATGATAAAATATCTTGTATGCTGGATATGTTCACATAGAGATGGTTGTGGTCAAAAACTGTAATCACAATGCTCATTGTAATAATCATGCTCAAGAGTAATATGGCTGTTGTTGTCTGTCATATATAAAATAAGGAACAGTTGTGTAAAAATTTATAACAGCATAAAAAAGGAGGTGAAATAACTTACTGACGTTTCAGACGTTATAATCCTTCGTTGGAGTAAATTTATCTTTTTACACAACTGTTTCTTTAGAAACACCGACACAGCTCACACTAGTTTACCGCGAGTTCCCACCATTAATGAAATAAGTACATTAAGTATTAAATTGTAATAATTTCTTACTTTGTGTATCTTAACAATGCTTCTCTAGCCTGATCGCCATATCCTCTCCATTGTCGTTGAATAAATTTTGGCACAGGGTCCGTTACTTCTAGATGAACGCTGTACCTTGGATAATGACCCAGGTCACTAAACATAGTCTGGTAATGTGGCACACGTTTCTACAACAACAAGCATTACAAGTCATCAGGACAGCATATATTGAAACTGTCAGTACAATTGGTTTTTGAACAATTGATCGACCTACAACTACAAAAAATATTAGTAAATAATAGTACAATATCATGTAATTGTAAACTTACAACTCTATCTGTTCCTGTGTGTGCTTTGAAAGTAGCCCTGGCATGGTCACGATCACTTGAAAGGGTATGGATGTTGTCTGTTGGGATATACCATAGTTAATCGATTAACATAACAAAATTGACATTCTGATTCTACAAGTACAAAGACATTTTCCATCAACCTTTAGCGAAACAAATTGAAATTATTCATGTAAAATATTTCTGAAAGACAGTTGCAGCTATTAAAAACCCCTACAGCAAAGTAAGATTAAATATCATTAGGACAAACACTAAATATCTCGAGTTGAGAAGGAGAGCTGCGAGTACGAGCTTCTACCAAACGAGTCGTGAGTAAACGAATATTTTTCTTACCATAAAGATAATCATGTGTCCGAGAAGGTTGTGGCTTCGTTCTTGTTATCGTTTGTGTAGACGTCATGGTCAAAACGCTTTTAAAAACTCCCTTTTTGATAAAGAAAATCGAGATGTCTTCCTAAAACATCATGTCCTCCGTCCAGTTCATCTTGTGGTTGCAGTCGCTATAGCAACTGGAGACCATCAAATGTAGTGCCCAATCTCTTCTCGGCTTATATGGCAAGTCTAAAAAAATTATCGGAAATGATCGGAAATAGGACAGAAATGTTTTTAATAACTGACTTAAGTCTAACATGTCCAGTCAACATATAGATATTTCTCAATACTTCTAATATTTCTGTTGTTCGTTTAGATTAGTTTCGGCAAAAATGTAAAATTCTTTGTAAAGAGACTGGAAACGAGTATTAGGCTGTTGTCATGTCAACCATTGAATATACTCAGCTGGGACGAATAGAACACAACATTGCGAACATTGCAGGGAATACCTAGTACAAGAACTATTAAAATGGCTTATGCAACGTCAAAAACGATTCCTTTTGTAAGTGTCCTTCAAGCAACAGGTCATGGCGAAGTCTGGGATCACACTGATGCTAAGAAATTCACTCAATTCGGCTGGCGTTGTACGAATACAGAGAGTTCCTATTCTCCTACTCGAACATTGATTGGCAACTGGAATGAGCAAAGATTTGATATATCTACCTTATCTCAAGCTAAACCTATACCTTCTCAGGTGAATACATGCACGCCACTTTAGACACTTTATACTCTTGTTTTCCTTGTTGTACGTTTTGAACGTTGTTATAGGATTTGGCTGTAAGATTCTTATGGTGATAACTTTGTTATCTAGTATATATATATAGGCTTATTCAATAATTGTTTACAAAACTTTTGATCACTATTGTAAACTGAATTCCATGTTTCAGTACGACCATTATTTTGAGACAACTAGCAAAAAGAGTTATTGCCGACAAAATTACAACACAGTACCTAAAGCATTAAAACATTTAGAAGGTATGTAAAAACACAAATAATTAAAATAATGATAATTAGAGGAATGGGAGAGTAGGGTAAGACTGCTGGCTGGTAGACATTGTACCCATGAACAACAGACTATATTACTAACTAACTTGAAAAAGAAATGAGGGCTCTAGCAGAGATCGCTGTTCTTATGGCTGGATTTTTTTTTACACACTTTGCACTTATTCTCATTTGTTTTGTTTATTATAGCAAGAGAGTGCACATCATTTCCAGGCCATCAACCAGAGTTAGATCCACTTCATCTCAAGAAAGAGTACAACTCATTTATGACAACATCAAGAGCTGCCTTTGGTGACCCCAACAAGATGAAGTAATGCTCCGTGATTTAAAAGTATTAAATAAATTGAAATAGGGTGAACATTTACAAAGATTGAAAATTTATTTTAATTTCAGTTTGGATATTCATTGAATTAAAACAAGCAAAAGTAAATAAATGTGTTTTAAGCTACACAACATGATAACTATCATAAAAAATTCATCATTAAGAAGTAACTTATAAAAATTTGATGGAGGCTCTACTAGTTAGTGTTAGGACCAAATGCTGCTTTTGTGACATTGTGCAAATCCTGTTATTGTGCAGATGTACTTGGTCCTTGTGTAGCTAACTGTTTTAGCCTTGATAGTAGACTGCCCTCTGGTTGACTGACCTTTCTCTCATACATGTCAGCTAAGACACTAGCTATTTTGAAATGTAGCTGTTGGCACCTGAAATATGAATTCACAGAATTCCTTGATTACACTTGGAATTTCCACACTTTTCCATGATAAAACCAAAATCATATTTTATTCAGAAATTTGCCATTCATTTTTTCCATTTTCAGTCAAAAACATTGCGTATGTAAGCTGTATTATAGTACAATACAATGAAATAGCAATTGATTCATGATGTGTTTGATATTGTACCTGAACATGTAGAGATCAAGATGGTCAGTAGTAGTAAGATATGTCTCCATCCATGTTGGATTGGTGCAAGGGTCAGTCATGATTACGTAGTCATCATTACGGAGGGTTTCTTTAAAGCTTTGAGTCATCTCCTCAAAGTTTGCAAATTGACTGCTTTTCTGTGTAAAGTGCAGATTTTTAGTAAAGTTACCAAAAAATGTCAATTGGCTGGCTAGAACAATAGGCTCTATTGTTTATGCCTTGTTCTCTAGAGTCACTCTGTGTTAAGCCAACCAATTACCAGCAATGTTCTTTGACGCTGCGACCTGACCCCAAAAAATATGTGATTTACTTACAGTCCACATAGAGTCACAAGACTAACCTGTTTTTCAATCATCTTTTTCACATCTTCATGTTGTCGTTTAAAAAGATAATCTTTCTTCATCTATTTTATATACATATTCATCAGAATTGTAGTGGTTCTTATATGTTTGATGTGCTTTGAAAAAAAAAACTATTGAAAACTACTCTGTTGAAATGTCTACATGTTTGATAACACAGATAATTTGTTGATAAGTTCTGTTGTCATAATAACCTTGAAATTTGAAGTCAAGAAATTTTCACCTGTAAGATAGCTTCCTTCTCTTGTCTTTGCTGTTCAATAAACTTTTCTGTAGCTTCATGAATGTTCTAAAACAAGATGGAATGACCCTGGTTAATAAAAATCATGCACAGTCATAATTACTGTCAGAGTAATTCTGAGAGAGAGAATTGCAACTTCTGCACTGAGTGGGATCTAGTAAATGCCAAATTGTATGCTTTTGCTCTTCCCAGGACTCCCCAACCCAGAGCAGAGCGGCTGGGGACTAGGTTGGTACAACAGAACATTCTCACTACTTACCATGATGATGATCCCAATGAACAAGTTTGTAAAAATAAAATGTCCCACAAATATAAATGTGATTGTAAACCATTGGCTATATGGTCTTTTCTCTAGACCCTTCTGTATGTCAGTCCACCCATCAACCTGAAAAATAGAACTACACATGTTATCGACATACACCTATCAGCATTCAATATTATTGACTGGTGATGTGTAATCACAAACATCACAATTACAGCTGTAACTAATATATATGAAGCATTTCAATTGAAATATATATCCAGCAATACATCTATATCTGACCGTTACAAAGGTGAACAGGGTCAGCATTGCGGTACTAAGGTTTCCCCAGTGCTCCTTGTCCCCTGTTTCTTCCTCATAACCAAATATGTAATATCCAACTACTGCAAAGAACCCCATTAACATGGTCAAGAGAATGACCACGTTTAGGACTGAATGACGGATTGTATCAATAAGAGCAGTGACAAGAACTTGAAGACCTTCAATGAATGATATGGTGCGCAAAGTACGAGCAACTGGAAAAGAGATCAGACAAAGTGTAAGGATTGGTCCTCCTCTCTTTCAATTGGCTTTCAAATCAAACAAATAAGCCTATCTGTCTTAACAAAAGGTTGACAAAACCATTAGATTTTGACCTAGTTATAGTTTTTGAGACTTATTTGCAGTCAATTTTACTCTTTCCTTTACATGGAAAATGTTAATGTTCAACTTCTCAGAGCATTTGTGTTCAGCCGGCTGATTGATTGGATGGAAGAAGGGACTGCTCCAAGCAACAAGTTTTTTTTCAAATGAAATATTATTGTTAAAATCTCTAGGAATATATGCATATGTGTTCAGTGACCTAGAAATATGTAAATATGTCTCAGTTTTTACCTCTCAAAAGACGTAGGGGAGTTAAAAGGTTGTCCCCAACATTTAGCTCATCCATTATAACTTGAATGTAGGATGTCAATAAAATTGTAAAGTCAAATATGTTGTAACTGCTTTTCCAATAAGTAGAGGGTTCTGCGTATATTTTCATCAAAAATTCCATGGTGTAGATTGACAAGAAAAACTCATCTAAAATTTTGAATGTGTTTGCTTCAGTTGTCTTGAATTTATCTACAGTCTCTAAACCAATACATAATGCATTGATGATGATAATTCCCATGATAAATCCATTGAAGTAATTGCTCTAAAAACAGATAAATAGGGTTGCATGACCAATGAGTTGAAAATATCAAAATCTCTTTTATTTGGATATTTCAGCAAAGTATCTAGGGAGTGTTCATATTGCAAGAAAAAGGAAATAAATATGAAAACACTCAAGTCTTGAATAGACTTCAAGACCCACAAACACTTTGCAAAAGGTTTTTTTTCTGTGGTTTTGTTGCAAAAAAGCTCCCCCCACAAACAACCATATATATGAACACTGTCTTAGCTCAGCTCCAAGCAAATCAGCTTTAGGATTACTTACCATTGTTATTTTCTGGATAAACTTGTGAAATTTTTCATCGTATCGACGGCGTTTCTTATATTGAGACCTGCGCAATCACCATTTTAAGTTTATTAGATTTTGGGTGGAACTAAAAGCTTATTCATTTGAAATAACTAAAATAATCCAACAAATATAATTAGGAAGTTGTCCTTCAGTAGCATTATGAGGTAAAGTGAGAGTTGAGGGCCGTACACTACTGTTGAAATCAGTCAAGAATGTCTTGACAAGCTTTGTATTTTCGTGACTGATGATGCGTCCGGCGAAAGCTTGTCAAGACATTCTTGAATTTCAATAGTAGTGTACGGCCCAAAACTCTCATTTAATAAAACAATCCCCGCACCTGAGTACATCCATGACATTATGACCGGCCACAGGCAACATATTGACTTAAACTGACTCAAGATAGACTAAGATTTCTTGTGCGATTTTGTCAAACTTGCAGTTCTTCGAGGTCGACTGCAAAGAACCAGCCCCAGTCTTCCTCGATCATCACATAAGTTTCTACAAAACGGCGGGACGGGGGGAGGGATAAATGGCTGGTAAGACAAGGAACATTTTCACGATTGATAAGCGGTTATGAATATTTGTAAAACTCTTTGGGTATTTTTTTTGACACGTTGGATTTATATAATCATTATATGTTTTTAGTATACTCTTGGGTATTAATATTTTTGAAGGTTATAAAATAAGTACACACTACTACCCCCTTGGGTCAAATTTTATCTCAAATCAAGAGGCTGTCGTGGATGTATCTCTACAGCTCAAGATGAAAACATGGGCATCAGAAGGATGTGTATTGAGTTTTATTATTCTCGAAGCCGTCGAATCGTAGTCTTATTGACACTTTTAGCGATTGCAGGAATTGTTTTTGTGCCACACTTCATGAACACACATAACAACAAGGCTCTATTTGCCACCAACGAAGGCAGTGATCATGAAAAGTCACACAAGCGACACAAACTAAAAGCTGCAGGGGCACAACATTTGCCAGATACTTCATTGAAGTTTTCTGGCGGACAATTCGTACTAGGAGGAAATCCTTTTACAATTCTAAGTGGATCAATACACTACTTTCGGGTTATTCCTCAATACTGGGATGATCGTTTGGCAAAGCTGAAAGCCATGGGGCTAAATACAGTTACCACGTAGGAATTAAGCTTTGAAGCTTAAAATGATTGGGCTATTATTATTTCTTTTGTTTTATCATACCCCCTCCCTGGGATTTCCAGGGCACAAAAGTAGCCCCACTCTCTTGGATTTCCAGGTCATGAAACTGAAAGCATTTGATGCCCCTGCACCCTTCAAGATAACCCCTCATAAATTCATCAACTTTACTTAACTTTACTTTTTTATTACTTTTCGTGTAGTTGTATACCTTGGAATATCCATGAAGAAGTTAAGGAATTCATCACGTTTGATGAGCCAGAGTATGATATAGTGTAAGTCACAGTATAGTTTGGTGTAGTGGAAACATGTTTTAGTATATTAGAAATTGAATAGGTGGTAAATTGTCCTGAATAAATGTGAATACACTTTATTGCACTATTTAGCACTATTTGATTAGTACTTTTTCACATTAAATTAGCAGCCACAAATCTAAGCAAGCTTTAAAACTTGATGTGGCAATACAAGGTTTTTTTTTTGCTGTAATTATATTGGAGATATTGTAGTCACCCAAAGGGTCTAAATACATCAAGTGGTCTACAGCAGTATTTAATTATTGTAATAATTTTGAATGCCTAATATATCTTGGCCAGAATTCTAAGAAACCTTCAAACTACAGTGGAATTTCATACAATGATTTGCATCAATCAAGCATTATAATTATATTTCCTTATTAGGTCATTCATAGAAAAAGCACATAAACTTGGGCTGTATGTTATTCTCCGACCAGGGCCATATATTGGTGCACAGCTTGACTTAGGTGGTCTTCCCAGGTGAGAACAATGGTCACATGAAACAATTAAGAAATGGCTGAGCTACTGGAGTCATAGCCATGGGGGTTGTCTGAGGGACCTTGCAGCAGGACTGGATAAGAGAACTTTGAAACAACCCCTTGATATGGAGCGAATTAATGACAATGGAGAGGAATGAGTGAAAACACTTCTTTTTGTACAAACACTGGATGGAATTAAAAGATCTTGTTCTGTTCTGTTTTTGTTTTAATTTTATCAATTAATCTTGTAGCTGGCTGATAGAGGAATCTGGACAAAATGTTCGTTCTTCTAATCCACACTTCCTAAGTCTAGTAGAAAGATACTTCAAAAAACTATTCGGTACACTAAGCCAACATCAAGTAAGTTTGCAAATTTGGTTGAATCCATCCTCTGTCTCTGTTAATAACTCTTAGTCCTATAATCATTTTTTATCAGTATTCCAATGGAGGACCTATCATTGCTTGGCAAATTGAGAATGAATATTTAGCCTTTGGACATGATATCAATTATTTGAAATCTTTACAAAAGGTTGGTGAAAGTGCACAAATCATACTCAGTAAGCTATAGACAGATATAATATTGTTAGTTAGATACAGTCCAACCTCACCTAGTCTTTCCCTAAGGTGATAAAAACGTACCATCATGTCCACAGATTATGCTTCAAAATGGTGTCAAAGAACTCATGTTTACATCAGATTCACGAACCAGTCTTTCAGACAACAAAATCAATATTCCAGGAGGTAAGTGTTTGTAAAACAAACTATGATGCACTTAGTGATCTGGTCATACATGACAGCTGCAATCAGTCGCATATATTTTTGGGGAAAATGAATGGAAGGTTTGTTACTCAGCAGGATCCACCTGTATGATTTGATGATAGTGCAAAAGCATTCCTAAATCACTGTAGAATATCAATTGATACATTCAGCATCAAAGTATTGTGTATCACCAACCTACTAGCCTGCATGGTCATTAATATGTATACATCATTCTGTTCTTTTGTTGAACTATGCAATGAGCTGTGCACTACAGATAAATGAAGAGATATTAATTACAAGATTGTTAAGGATGTTACTCAATAACAATGTTAATTAAAAAATGTCTAATCATTTAATTTTCAATATTACCTTTAAGTTTAATGTTTGTAATTATTCTTAAACTGATCTTCAGTCTAATGCATGAGTATTGAACAGTTCTTAAGGGCATGAGCATGCAATATATCTTAGAGGAAAAAGAAGCGTTAGAAGAACTTCAAAAATTACAAGTAAGGACTATTGACCAATTCTAATCATTAATTTATTGATACATCCATTTCTTTGTTTGACATATTTGTTTGTATTGCTTTACAGCCAGATAAGCCTCTTTTTGTAACAGACCTTTGGACAGGCCATCATGATTCCTGGGGTGATGAACATCACACAGAAAAAGTTGATGATTTAGCAGCTAGTGTTGCTAAGATATTAGCCATGGGGGCTTCTGTCAATTTCTACATGTTTCATGGTATTTGGTTTATAACAATAAGGCACTTACATTATATGAAAGTATATTATTATTATTATTCTTCCATAATTTTAGGTGGCACAAACTTTGGCTTTATAAGTGGTGCTAAAAATGGTGAGAAGTCTGAATTCATACCAGCCGTTACTTCTTTTGGTGAGTTTTTGTACTTCTAATGAGTGTTGTTTCTAGTCAGGTAATGATAAAAACTAATTTACTTTTTTACTTTTTTTAATAATATAATTTTTTGTTGACAAAGACTTTGATGCTCCCTTGAATGAAGCGGGTGATGTCACAAGGAAGTATAAGGATCTCCGGAAAGTCCTCCGTGCACATGCCCCAGAGCACTCATGTAAGTTTATCCCACAATATTCATACACAATTTCTCTTCCTGTTGTGGAAATACAACAAAGATAATGAAATGTAGCTGGGTTGAAACTTCCACTGGTACTTTTAAAAACAGCTCACATTTTAGTATCTCAGTTATACACACATTGGAACTTCTCACAGTTTTTAAAAGTACTGTCTTATTGAGGGAGGTAAAACAGTTTACCAGAAGAAAAGTCCTCAAAGTAATAACCATAAATATAATAGAAAATTAATGGGCTAACAAATAACTTATAGTACATGTTGATCTTGTAAATATTTACGATTATAATGAAAAGACTATGATTGCTAACAGGTTAATACTAACAGCTATATGTATGGTTATTATAATTCTTTAGTTCCTAAAAAACTTCCAGACATTCCTCCAAATGTCTCCCGAAAGGTTTATGGTAAGAATTTGTAACCAAATTTCCACAAATATTTGTCACGAACTATTAAATGTTTGAATGACACCTAAGAATGCATAGTACAACTGTCAAATGTTTACTTTATTACCTTGCAGAACCAATTAAAATGGACCGTCATATGCCTTTAACAAAGATGTATAAAAATGTGGTAATTGATTCCTTAAAGTGTATATGCCTCAAAAATTATTAATACTCGAAATGTTAGTTCAAATATTAATAAAAACGAAACGATAAGTATAACCAAAAAGAAACGCAACTCAAATCGTATTTTTTTCGACGAAAGTTGACCGGGCATTGGCGAATATTTTTTCGCGCGGTATTTGATGGCTGTGACGTCACACCATTTGAAGGAGCCGGTTTTGCCAAAAATGGCGGAGAGCAAAACGAAGCATGGCGGCCTTTATTGCGTAGCTGGCGGATCAAATAAAATAAGCTGCAAAAATACGAGCTACACAAAGGGAATTTCTATGCATGTTTTCCCAAAAGACCCTAAACGTAGAAAACAGTGGACGTCATTCGTGAGAATCCACAGACCAGAGTTTAACCCAACGAAATATTCGGCACTTTGTTCAACCCACTTCGAACCATCTTGCTTCAACCAAAGGTTTACCTTTCAAGAGCTTGGGGAGGAGGTATCAGGAAACTCAAAGAACATCAAAAGAACTCTTTCTAGAGAGGCAGTACCTACTCTTCAATTGCAAAACGAAGAACAGAAAACGAAAAAGGAATACACTTCCACGCCTCGCGAAAAACGATACGTGAGTACAGCTTTGTTTTCTCTCGGCCTTTAGAATTAAAATAAGATTTGCTAAAGTGACATTGTTATTTGTGAAATCCAATAGATCTTACGTGAAGCTGTCGGTAGTCTTACTCTGAACTCGCAAATCGAAAACCTGCATGCATCTGAAGGAGAAATTGAGGACGTGCATGAAAA